CCTTCCTACATGGACTTCGCTTTGTAACATGTATGTTATATATATAAAATTATAATAATAATTCTTATGAGAACTAGAGGGCTCTGTCACTTGAAAGCACACGTGTTGTTTTATGTGCTTACTGGAAAGTTACGTTTTGTAAAGAACTAAACAAAACCGTTTAAACCAGCAAAAGAGTACTAAACAGAAGTCAGTGAGAAAAAAGCATATGAATTGTTGCTTACTGATATGCGTTTCAACGATGACGCCTGCTAGCTCAGGAAAAAGGTTGGAAGTTAATAGTCAGTGACTGTGAATCTTGTGCACTGAACAAAAGAATTATCCACAAAATGATTTTTACCTCCAGCTGATCTGAAAAGCTCAAGTGGATTAAAGAAGTTCCTTCTTAAAATTACTTTACAGAATACAAGTTAAGACAGTTTTTACAATAACGTGTTTTCATCCGATCTTGTTTGATTTAGTTGTATTAAATATACTTTACTACTTTACTGTATTTGTAGATTATGGCTGTAGAGTTTGTTTCTCTTGTCTACGTTTATCACTTATTTTTCATGATCCTCAGTAGTAGATTGTAATTTTAAAGTGCACATGAGACATTTTTCTTAATCAAAAGTTTAATGCAAATGCTCACTTATGTCTTCATAATTATGTCTCCAGTTAGATGAGGTGATGCAACAGCCTTCAATTAGAGGTGTGAATGTATGTTGTGGTTGTAGTCCCTGGGCTACCTTAGTGTTCCTGACTGCATCATCTCACCTCTTCAACCTGGGGCCTTGTTGTTCTCAGCAATAACAACACTAATATAGCAAAACAAATTTGTGGCCACTTAATGATGTGAATAATAGCATATTGCAATTTAATGAGGAACAAGACATGTGAGAATAGCCCTTATAGTGTAGGGAATACACTGTTTATTCACTGAATTTCAAGGTATCTGTTTTCTTTAGGTGTAAAATTATGAATATGGACTACTTCCATTTTCACCATGGGGTCATGCGACTGTGACATAACCAGACAGAATGTTTATGGACTTTGATAGCACGCTGATTGAATTCAGAATAAGAACCTATAGCTAAAATAATGCCAGCTAGTCACACTCAAAGCACCATCATCCCTTACTTATCTGTTGACAGTCGGAGTGCTTAAGTAGATCTGACAAAGAAGTGGCACTGGCTCAACTTTAGAATCTATATAGCATTGATAAAACTTTCTCACAGATAGGAAAAAAAGAAATATTGTTTGTTTTTTGAGTCGTCCTCCGTTCGGCTGGGCTCATCCACTGGCCCACTCCTCTTTGGACTTCCCTCACGGCGTCCTCCCTGTTCCCCCGCCTCTCCTCGCTTCCACGGCCCCTGTGTTCCCCGGCTCTCTGGCCCCCTGTCTCCTTGGTTCTCCGTGCCTGTACTTCCCTCAATAAACCTCCTTCCCTCAGAGTGCTGCATTTGGGTCCTCTCTGTCCACACACCACACCTCGTAACACATTAGCATGTCAAATGAAAAGGCCCTGTGTTCTGGGTTTACTTAATCACTAATAATTGCTGTGATTCACATCATGGGTGTTTTCCATTAGCTGTCAAGGGTTGGGTGCAACATGCTTGAAAGTTCTTCCCTATTTCTTTATATGATACATACTTCTAATAATAATAATAATACTTCTAGAAAGTCAAAGAATTGGATATTTAAATTAACTTTCTGATCACCCACCTCTATGGAAAAAGACTGGTTAAGTTTAGGGGTTGGGGAAAGATTGCCTTCATGGTTCAAAGAAACCAACATTAGTCAAGTGTGTATCCAAATGTAGAAAAGTGTGTATTGTTGGGAAGAAGTGTATGGCCTCATCAAGCCACATAGTTCTACTTTGTTTTGTTTTTCTTGTCTCTTTTGTTGATGTTTAATTCACATGCTTCATGTACGTCATGATTCACCTCATCCAAGTGTAACCGGCTGCCCCCAAGAACGTACTGCACGGTCCTGACTTGAACTGGCGACCTCGGGTACGGGAGGCGGATACGCTGACAAGGACGCTAAAACCCATGGTCACTAGCTTCGGTCGCCAGTGCGTCTCTTAAGGTGTCGGGGAGTGAGGTTTACTCACTGCACAGCCTCGCTGGCTTCCGTCACACTAGCATAAAAACTTGAAAATACACATTAAAACAGATGGAAATGCAACAGGATGTACACTACCCGTCACACGTACAGCTAAAAAACAGTTGTGCTGATTAACGAAGCAATAAAGCTGGCCTTCTTTAGCCAAAATGGCCAGAAACAGATAAACGTCTTCTGAAACTCATCAGTTTATTCTTCTTCTGAGAATTGAAGGCTATTCCTTTTGAGAAATTGTCAAGAACCTAAAGATCTCATATAATACAGTGTACTACTCCCTTCACAGAACAGAGCAAACTGGCTCCAACTAGAATAGAAAGAGGAGTGGGAGGCCCCAGTGCAAAACTCGGCAAGAGCATAAATACATTAGTGTCTAGCCTTTGAAACAGACGCCTCGTAGGCCCTCATCTTGCAGCGTCATTAAATAATACACAGAAAACACCAGTCTCAACATCAACAGTGAAGAGGCGATTCCGAGTTGCAATGAAAAAGCCATGAAAAGAAAAGATTAGCCCTAATCTTTTCTTTGAAATATGACTTTCTTTGTGACTCTGCCGAGAAGGGATTAACAATGTCTACACTGTATTTCTGATGAATTTTATATTTATGTAGTGTAGTTTGCAGACAGGATGTGAATTAACAACGTGGCAACCTCCGGCGCTCAAAAAATGATGCCCATGTGGAAGTGCCAAAAATCCCCAAAGACCCCATGTTAAAATTCCTCTACTTTACAGCAGAAATAATGTCAGTGATTGTTCCCTCTGGCTGGATGAAGCACGATCTGCTGGCATTTCCTCGCGTCTGGGTCATTCCAGCATACTGTATCTGTTTCTGCTGGGGTTTCCCAAAGCAGTTTTTCCAGGTGTTCTGTCCCAAGTACTGCGGAAGAGTAAAATAATAAACATGGCTACCCAGAGACTAAAGCAGAATGATTTAAATCAGATTAATTAAAGAAACCGGCAGAGAACATAAATTGACACCTAGCAAACAGAGAGAACCCAAGCATGATGACTAAGGCAGACACCGAGATATTGACAGGACAGATCAGAACCACCACATAGAACAAGCAGAGGACAGAACAAATAGACAAACTCAACAATGGACTAAGATAGCTGAAGAGAACAGATTAACAGAATGATAATAACCAATAAATCAGGCAGAGCTCACAATAAACACTAACAGACTGGACACAGGACAACAGACAGAACTGAAGCCCAAAACTGACACCCTGCCAATGTTACCCGAGATAGCTTTACATTTGCAGTTAGTCTTGATACTAAAGGCCTTTTCTCTTGTAATGTTTGCAAATGATCTTTGTCTTGCACATGTAAACAAGGATGTAAGGTATGCAGCCAAACAGGGTTGTGTTGGAATGAAATAGCAGTGTGTGAACATTTTCCCGTATCATACTTACATTGCTAGGACTAAAAAGCTCCACACTGCAATACAAGAACAATGCATCTTCTTTATTCCCATGTCCTCTTCATGGATCAACTGGTGTGAATGTTGGGAAATACACTTTTAGCCTCACTATTAACATGGACATGTTACCATCAAGTGTATTTTTAAGAACCTTTAACGGGGTTCTCATTTTATCGGGGGAGACAGTGTTTATTAAACTAACTCATGGAGTTAATGTTAGCTTAAGTCATCAGAATCCCCATAAACCTAGCAGTTCATTGGTTCAAATATCAGTCGTCAATTGCCTTAGACAGACACAGAAAAAGATACAGCTCTACAGAAATAGGAGTCTCTTTATGCATTATATGGCCCAAGGTAACATGCATGGTTCTGTTTTACAGGTCAGCCCAGGAAAAATGTTAATTTTTTGGCTGATCTCTTACACAACTATTCTCCAGTTAGAACACGGAGGTCAACAAATCAGCTGCTCTTGGATGTCCCGAGATCAAAGCTAAAAATAAGGGCGATAGAGCCTTTGCAGTGGGTGCCCCCATCCTATGGAACAGCCTCCCCATGCATATTAAAGCTGCACAGACCCTACAAACATTTAGATCGCTGCTTAAGACGTACCTTTTTGCAGTAGCTTTTAACCTTCGTTAACCTGGTTTTCTGATGTTTTAAAGTGTTGTTATTTTGTTTCCCTGTGATTCACTTTGGTCAACTGTTGTTGTTTTTAAATGTGCTAAAGAAATAAAATTTACATTGACATTTAAGATATCTTATATATACTTATTCAATAACCGAAAGAGAAAGGGGTGTGATCGGCTTCTTTTGTGTTATTTAGAAATGCATTGTTGATAGTTTCATTACGCCTTTTAAACTGGAAGCTGTCCAAAGGCTTTTGAAACTGTTATGCCTCAAACAGTAGCTGTTCCTTCTTCAAATGGTATTGGACCATAAAAAAGATAAATAAGAAAAGAGAGAAGTTGAAGAAAGAGCTGCATATAATTGGTATCACTGTCTTTATTATAGTTAATTATAGGGATGCCTGGTCTGTGTCAGGGAGGGTGTTTTTGAAATTTTTGAAAAAAGTTGGGTGGAAAAAATCCGGTCTAACTTTAGATCACGTCATATTACAGAAACAGCCCTGGACAGAGTATAGGATGATTTCAGACAAAGTTTTGACACAAAAGTGCGTCTGTACTGATCCTTAGTGCTACTTTTGACACAGCTGAAGAAAGTGCCTTTAAAATGGATTTGAATGCTGACTAAACTGTTTGCATTCATATAACAATGAAATATCTGACCAAGTGTCAAAGTTTTTGGGGAGATTAAGTATCATAAAGAAATAAAGCCCACTCAGAACAACCAAAACTCGGATGTAAATCTCAGATACACACACAAAAAATCATCGCACTCACAGTGCTCTGTGATACAATCTATACTCCTGCCAAGTACCAGGTCGCTTAACTTGTCAGACAGGTGTGTGACTCAGACCAAGTATTCCAGGAAGTTGACTGGTGTCCTTACTCACATGTTGGACTATTGGTCTATGTATCTGGAGACATACAGCAAAATGATTGTTTCCTGAGAAGAGGCCTTTTTGGAAGCCAGAAGACAATAAGAGGTAAACAAATACAATTAACATTTTAAAACTTACATAGGTGGTTATTACCCCCGTATAATCCTTTTAGGCAAACTGCAGAGAAGTATGCAATAGTCCTTACTCATGTAAAAGAAAATTAAACACTAAACCATTTTCACCTTGAACCCATTTTACAGCAGTGAAAATATTTGGGATCTTACTAATAGTAAAGAGGAATAAATAGAACATAGTGATTTTTAGATTTTCTTTATAAATACTACAAATGTAGTAGTTTTTTGTTTCAGAGGGAAAAGCTCCCTGGATGTTGTAACAAGCAGGTGATGTTTTTCTTGGTTAGAATGCTGAAGTGATGAAATGGCTATTAAATATATTATCATATATAATTATATATTAAAGGGAAACATTAGTGTCATGTGTTAGCCTTTAAAGAAGTCTGGAAAAAACAAACATGTAGCTGAGGCAAGTGAAACAAAGACTTGCTTAAAAAAGTAAAGTTGACTAGTAATTCACATATTGCTTTTCAAAGTTAATTCCACTCTCCAACTCAATTCATATGAGTCTGTAAATATATTTTCAGTGACTGGAAAAAGGAGAACTTTAACTTTCTGCTTTGTTGATTTAACTAGGTTTAGTGGATGTTTAACAACAATGCAACTCACTCCTGAGACAACTGCCAGACAGGCTTTGAAATAGGATTAGTAGCAGGCTTTGCTGTAGAAAACTAGAAAACACTTTGTGATTTATTAAACAGACAAGAAATTAAAATAGGATAAACACAAAATTAGAGGGGACAATAAGTAGGGTTAGGGTAAAAAGTGTAAACTATACAGGTATCTTTAAAGATTAAAGACATTTCAACCATAACCTAACGGTATGGTAAGCTGTTTTCTTTGTTTTAAATGAAGACACTCTTACAAATGATTGTAGATTAATAAAAGCCACATACTTGTAGAAAGCAAAGAGCATCTTAAGAAGCTTCAGAACCTACAGGTGGAAATAATATATTAAAAAAAAATTTATTATTGTAATATTGTTGTTGTTTGTACTTTTATTATAACCACTGATGGTTGAGGTTGAGGAAGTGTCATTGTATGTCAAACGATGGCACAAATTATCTGCCCGTTTCTGACGTTAGCATCCTGCTCTTACTTTTGTTTTTATTTATAGTGAGTATGATGTTTGTTACATGCTTACACAGTAGTCTTATAATGACTGATTTATCTTTCTTTATTTATCTTATAATGGCTGATTTAATGATCCAGTATAAATATGTGTTTACCTTTGGGGCTATATTACAGCTTGTGTTGAAAAGAAAATGAAATGAAGCAGATAGCCTAATTACCTAAAGTTAAGTTTACCATTAGGCTACTTTTGCAATGCAGCAAAATAAAAGTTTTGAATGAAAATGTGTGTGACAAGTGTCAAAATGTCCGGCCCCAGGGCCCTACCTTATTGAAAATGTGACCCCCTAAACCATATAGTTAATTGATTTTATGTTAAGATACATTTTTAAACTGACTGATCCAGTATAAAACATGTTTTGGTGTCATTTCCAACATTTACACCTTTTTTTTTTTTTTGACATTTAACACAGCTTCCAGACAAATGCACCACATTACTTTAAAGTGTCAGATGTCTCTTCTACTTGTGAAGGAAATTAAAAGAATTGGAGTGATGCAAGTGGACTGTTTGGCAGTCTTAAGGTAGAGTCGATTAATTAAAGACAGAGAAAAGTCAGTAACAGTGGTCTAACAGGGAAGTTATGAAGGCTTATATGACTTTCTCAGTAATGTAAAAGGAAGTATGATTGAACCACTTTTGTACTAGTCAAAACAGAATCCTACACTCTTGCAAAACACACATGGCTAGATAAGGACAAGGAAGATAAGACTGATGAAGTAGTAATCAACTGTTTTGACTATTAGAGTATAGGAGCAGTGATTTATATCTAATTTTTTGCTGACACTGATCTGCAGCTCATCAGCCAGGCATGAAGAACTGATAGTCTGCTAAGATTATTAGAATTAAAAGTGTGTTGAAGTCTGGGAGGTAAATCTTGTCTTGACACCAGAGATCTGGAATCCTGGAAAATACTAGAATTTGTGTTGACACTAGAAATGTAATGGGTGCAATATTTCCTAAATTTCCACCAAGTTGTCCTAGTCCCCTGAACATAACCATACCTTAAGCACACCTCTGTTGCTATGAGCACATAAAAAGAAAAAGTAGCATGGGAAATATTAACATTTTGTTGATATTTTCCGTATTCATATTCAGTGGAAAATGAAAATAATTCTTAAGAGAAAAGGCAGAATAATCACGCAGAGAGAGATTCTTTCTCTTCTAAGGTATGCCACTGCATGATTGGGCTCCAGCGCTTAAATTATTCCAACATTTTCTTTTTCATTTGAAAAAGTGTATTGCTCCGGTCAGTATGTTATTGTCTGACTGTTGGGGCTTGTTAGCTGTTATTGAAATAGTCTAAATAATCCTTATTGACAGATATCTGAAGTTAAATCTACGCCCCAGGCAATTGGATTTAAACTTCTGTGTGATACTGTGTGAGCTGCAAGGGACAGGTGCACGCAGGTGAATTGAATCCAGTTTACTGGAACAATAATTAACCTTAAGAGTCAACAATCAGCCAAACTGAAAACATTGCATCCTTTCAAACCAGATGATGCTATACTGTATAGGCTGTGTAGGCCAGATGTACTTCTCGACTTGAACTGCCCCTGACCTGCCACGCAATCATGCATATATCGTTACAAAGCGTTACCCAGAAGCCCCGCTAGTGCATTGTGTTCAAATCCTATACAGGAGAGTGAGATAGCAAGCTTATTTTAATTCTAGGTTGTGGCCTTACCTAAAAATTAAAAATGTCTGTCTTCAATTATTTATCATCCTTATTGCATTCTTAAAACATCATATTCATCTCTTGTTAATACATTTCACACAGTTTATAGAGCTGATTTCATCATACTATAAATAAAACACTACGGTATCTGCTGGCAGAGGCTCACTTCCTGTGAGTCTTCGGATGCAAATTTCCAATCCTTTCCAGTACATTTAAAAAGCATGATCACCATCTACACTTGATTGATTTAGCAATGCATATTAGAAATTATGCTCAAGGAATACACTTTTGTTATATATGACTGTCTAGATATACTTCCTGTCAGCGTAAAGAGTAAGAAAAGGGTCAGAGCAATAGGAAAAAAAATACATTTCTAATTTCGTTCCTGAAGCATACTCTCACAAAACGTCATGAGTACAAAACATTATTATAATGGTGATTTAGCAGTGCGTGCTAGCAACTGCACAGCAACATAAGTTTATAAGTTGACTTTAGCAATATATTTATATATTACTTTACCTTAAAGGGTAAAATAAAGAAATAAAATTAAGAACAATCATAAGATGATTTCTACATTTCCCTACCAATTCTACTGCTTAGACAACCAGGACTTACCTGAGAATCATCATAATTTTAGATTTCTTCAGTATCAAAGTAGTCCTGTGATAGTTGTCTGCACATCTATTTTTACATTGCAAACAGAAACTGCTAATAGCTATTTCAACATATCTTTAATGGCACCATTTTCCCCAATGTAAAGAAATATTGTTCAAATGGCCAGCACTTGGACAATTCTACCCTGTTTAGGAGAGGTATTCTCTTTATTTTAAGTATAGGCTAAAAAGAAAAGTTGTAGCCCACAGCAATACTCATTGAATCCATAGCAACATGATTCCTGTTTGAATGAACCTTCACTGAAGTTATGTAAATAGGATGGTAGCATGCCCTTAAACTTGATTAACAACAAGTTTTCTTTTCTATCATGATGAAGTTACTGAAGCATTTTGAACATACCTTGTTTATCAGCACAACCTCACGTAACACAACTTTAAAGTATCTATATCATCAGCCATTCATTTAAGCAAGGGCGTCACTTTGTGTTGAAAAGCGGTGGGGACATAAGGGCTCAGATTAGAGGCGTAATGATACACTTGGGTCACGAGACGTGACAATGTACGAGAACAAGACAAGAAGATTTTTAGCACTATTTAGATTAAATATTTGATGCTGAAATAATTTACTGCATTCTGGAGACATTTTCTGCACCAATTTATGGATAAATGTCTTTATTTATATGAAGGGAAACACAAAATTCTGTTGGCAGGCGACAATTCAAAATATAAAAATATAATGGAATACAATGCAGTAATCAGTAGCTTTTTTTGGTTGCTTAAGTTAATTTCTTGGACAATGTGCACGTGTTTCTTCTAGATTTAAATTGCATTGCATTTTTTCTTATTGTGCAAATAAAAATTCTCAAAGCAATTTCATTTGTTATTTAACATTTCTTGTTGCAAGCTATTTTTTTAAGAACATTTTTAACAAATGCTTTCAAAAAGTGATGGGGACAAAATCAGCCAATTCAAAAAGTGGTGAGGACGTGTCCCCAGCGTCCCCAGTGTAAAGGACACCTATGAACTTAAGTAATACATAGGCCTATATATTTCTTCTAACTGATTTACTAATGAGAAATCATTGTGTTGCTTGCATTCTGTCTTTAGTCAGGATGGCTTTACCAAAGGCAGTAGGATACTTAGTTGTTCTTGTGGTTATATGCTACAGTCTGGAGGATCAGGGCTACACACAGTCTCTGGATTTATCCTTTGAGGTAAGATCACAAAATAATAATAATGGCACTCATTGTTGTAATGTTACACCATGAGATACTGCAGCTAGTATGATTTGGCTACATTGCTAAACATATGTAATATATTATAGAAGTATGACTGCTCACTGTAAAGTTTAATGTGTATTTAGTATTTAGTTACAGTAATTGTTTTATGTAGACAAACTGTATGTTGCTCTAATGAGATGTAAATTGATTTTTTCCAGGAATTGATGAGTACAAACGCACCACACATTCATGCCAGAGAAAAAAGAGCGAGTGAGTCACAAATTAATATCAATAGATAGGATGAGCTTTATCAGTAAATACTGAAACTACTACTACTTGTCTGTATGCTCAGTAGAACAAAAAAATATTGAGTATTGACTATTGAATTTGTCCTTTTCTTGTCAGTGAGGTATGGACTGTCACTTCGCTAGGTCTACAGTATCTGATTGTGTCTGTTTCTTGTCTTCACAGCTACCTTAAATTCCTCTGATTATGTCCTCCAAGTTGTTCTAAACATCTCTGACCTGGAGCACCTCCGAACGCTTTTAAACACGTTCAGTCCTGTGCTCATCAACAACACTGTTGAAATTAACAGCATTGCCGCAACAACAGGTGCAACTAAATCCACTCATGTGTTGCCATTGTTTGCCAAAAATAAATATCTTTTAACTTTACCAGTAAACATGTCATAAATCATTGATGTTGTGATGTTCTTCTTCACATAGTGTGTTCACCAAATACGACTGGATACCAGTGCAGATGTGAGCCGAGTTTTGCTTGGTCATATAACAGCTGCATTGACTATGGAGCCTGTGATGCGATCATCGATGACACATGTGGATGCATTAATGGGCTTCCAGCTGACGGCCAGTACTGCCAGCTAAACACCAGTCTCTCAGGTACTGTAGGCCCAGCACAACCAAAGATACATAATGTCATTGGACTCTGACATGTATCACCTGGGAAAAAACCTACATGTTGATTCTGTGTTCATATTTCATCATTACTGAATACATCAGTGGGTACATTTACTCAAGCACTGTACTTGAGTATAATTTTGAAGTGAAGTATTATGGTACTTCTTCCACCATTATTATTATTATTATTATTATTATTATTATTATAAATATTTGTAATATTTTTACACTGTAGTTTGCTTTTTTACTTTTCCACCACTGGTATTCATTCATTGTTTATTATCGTGCTTCATTATCAATACTGTATTTGTTTATTGTATGTTTATTATACGTGTATTAGAGGTATATATTCTGGATACCGTTGAAAAACTGGGGATGGATATTTACATTCTTCATCAATTGCCTTGGCATTTCTGTGTGGAGTTTGCATGTTCTCCCCGTGTCCGCATGGGTTCTCTCTGGGTGCTCCGGCTTCCTCCCACCATCCACAGACACGCAGGCTAGGTTAATTGGTGTCTCCAATGTGGATGTGAGTGTGAGTGGTTGTCTGTCTATGTGTGGCCCTGCGATGGACTGGCATCCTGTCCAGGGTTTACCCTGCCTTTCGCCCGATGTCAGCTGGGATTGACTCCAGCCCCCGCGACCCTGTACGCAGGATAAGCGGTTGACGGTGGATGGATGGATGGATGGATTTTGGATTTTAGGACAATTACCTATTACGGCCAGTAGATGGTGCATTTTATTGATTAAATTCCCAACCTAAAAGCTCTGTTTGTGGCTGTTCTACCATATTGGGTAAATGTGTTATAGTTTTTAATTCCTTTTGTTTTAATGAGAAGTTATTATAAGTGTTGGACGGTAGATTTTAATTTCCTGAACACAAAACAAGGAACTATCTGCTTCCTCATATTCTTCTGCATGGCCTTAATTAACGCTAGAGTGAGGGACTTTTACATATAAATGAATGTGCATTACATGCAAGCCCTTGCCAAACACATGCAGACTTTAATCAGATAGTTAGTTTCAGTAAAAGAACCTGTCACATGCAGATAAAGTCTCTACCAGGTTTTCTAGTTAAGTGATAGAGTTTGATTGAAAAGATTACACCTGTTTGGCTTCATTCCACCCCTTGGTTTAAAAAAATGTAATTGTAAAGGAGCCTGCACTCCAGCACCCAGAGACCTGAATAACTTTTACGGCAGGTTTGAAACCATGAACTGCTTAAATGTGGCCCATATCAGACTCCAGTGTGAATTGTTTTTACGGCCTGAAAGTGACCCGCATGCGCAGACAAAAAACACAACATCACACACAGCAGCACGCTGTGGTAGAGGTTAGCTCCAGTTAGCTCATACTTGCTAACTCTCCCAATTTTCACAGGAGACTCGAAGTGTTCACAACTTTCTGTACTTTCTCTAAACTTCTGTACTTTATTATGGTTTCTGGTGCCGGATAACGCATCTAACCAGGGATGTATTGTGACTGAAATTCAGCCTATGACTTTAAGACAGAGAGGGTTTTTATGCGCTCGCATGTGGGGGCGCGGAGAAAGATATTTTGCAGTTATTTTAATATATTGTGTTGTACTTGTGTACAATCAATTTCATTATGATGAAGATCTTCAGGAAACTTTTTATAACACCGGTTTGGCCCAGTCTGCACACTGAATTTTCCTGCCTTTTTAACACTGTTGTGGTTACAAACTTGTCGCAGCTGATTGGGTAACACCTGAGACATGCCCACCAAACGGGAGAAAACATACCTCGAAGCCCCTTGCAGAACGTTGCGCAACGTTTTGTTTGAGGCACCACCGTTTCCGTTGAAAAAAATGTTTTTCTACGTTTTGTCGATGCTGAACTCGCCCACAGACAGCGTTCACTGCAGCTGACCGACCAGCGTAAACTGAAAAATAAAAACTCTTGAACACTGGCCAGTTCAGCCTGAAATGGAGCGGCCGTTTGTGATTGTTCCCAAGATTCCCCACGGCCAATCCAACCCTGCACATAACTCAGAAGAGAGCTTGCGGTCCGTTGGATTTCAGGTGTAAGGCTGCGTTCCAGGCAACTCGGAACTTGTAAATGTCCAACTTCCAACTACAAAAAGTACTATGGAACGCCACTCGAAGTCGGATTTATTACTTAAAAAAAATATGTACCCCGACTTCACGAGTAGCAGCCGAATGACAACACACAACAATGTGTTTTTTTAAGTGACCGGCTGAAGAGCTTAAAAACAAAAATCTAAAATATTCATAACAAAATAGAATTACTATTTGGGATAAAAGACCTTCTGAGCCGTTCAGTAGAACACCGGGGCATCTTCAGTCGGCCACTAAAGGAACTACTAAGTGGACTACTCACTGTGGAGTGGATGGTCTACAAGATCCATGATATTCTTCAGTTTGGCACTTGTTCTCATACATAAGATGATCTCCAGTGACTCAGGGGCAAGGCCAATCACAGAGCCAGCCTTTTTAATCAACTTATTGATCCTTTTTTTATCGTCTACAGGAATGCTGCCTTCCCAGCAAAGCACAGCATAAAAAAGAACACTAGCTATAGTGCCTTGATTAAAAGTATAAAGCAGTTCCCCTTCGAGGGAACTCTAACTGCGTCGGTGACGACACTATGGGAACGCCTCTGGGCGTGGCAGGGCTGAACATGAATGAAACTACTCCAATCCTATTGGTGTTGCTAGAACAGTAGCGTGTGACGGCGTAACTGGAGGCGTATATAAGCACGCCGGCACACAGGACTGGATGAGCGCTTTTTGCAGCGCTGTGCGCCACCTCCGCACAGGTCTCTGCCTTTTTTTCCGGACTTGCATGATTGTGCAAGTCCTGGGGCAAGCCCTTCTCAGCTCGTCTGACTACTCCCCCGCTCCGGGTCTATAGTGACGTAGCGGGAGTCAAGGGTTTTGGCTATGGGATGATGCCCCGGGTTGAGGATGCTTTGGCTAGCTATCTTTCGCCCGGTCATGCATCATCCCTCAAGGAGCCGGCGCTACCTACCAAGCCATGTCATATGACATCTGCTTTGGTGGGCAAAGCTTACATGGCGGCAGGCCGGGCTGGTGCAAGCCTGAACGGTGGTTTTGCAGGCATACCAGGCCGACCTGCTGAAGGACATAGACTCGGGAGCAGGCCCCTCTGAGGAGGGTATTGCTGAGCTCCGCCAAGCTACGGACTTGTCACTTAGAGTCACGAAGGAGACGGCCTGCGCTATTGGCCGCTCCATTTCAGCACTGAACGGCACCTATGGCTCAAGCAAGCACGCGCCATGCTGCCTGCCCCGAGGGGCCATAGTCGGCAGGCGCTTTGGCTCACATACCATGGATTGTCGGCAGGATCTCCCTGGCGGACCTCCACTTCAGGGTGCCGCACCGTAGTAGATGGCTACAGGCTGCAGTTCCGGGCCCGCTCACCCGTTTTCAACGGGGTTGTCTGGACTGCGGTGCACTCAAGGCGGAGCCAGGTGTTGGAACGAGAAGTTTTCTCTCTACTGAACCAGGGGCCATAGAACGCATTCCCCAGCCAGTCAGGGAGTCCGGGTTCTACAGCCGGTACTTCATAGTTCCCAAGAAGGACGGAGGATCACGTCCGATTTTAGATCTACGGTTCCTGAACAAATCTCTGAGGAGATTCTGGTTCAAGATGCTCACCATCCCCGCCATCGTCAGTCAGATCCGATCCGAGGATTGGTTTGTCACGATAGATCTACAAGACGCATATTTCCACATCTCCATCCGTCCCTCTCACAGGAAGTTCCTGAGGTTCTCCTACGGGGGCGTGGCATACCAGTATCAGGTTCTTCCGTTCGGCCTTGCACGTTCACCAAGTGTATGGATGCAGTTCTGGCCCCGGTGAGGCTCCTGGGCATCCGCATACTGAACTACATCGACAACTGGCTCGGCACAGCGGTTCGCCATCGAGATGTCATCCTCGCCCACCTTCGGCGTTTGGGGCTGCGGCTCAACATGAAGAAGAGCGTGCTGACACCCGCCCAACAGACTACGTTCCTAGGGGTGGTGTGGAACTCGATGACGATGCGGGCCCACCTGTCGCCTGCACGCGTTGGGTCCATTGTATCCTCAGTAACCAGAATAAAGCTAGGCCGCTCCATCACTGTGAAACACTTTCAGAGAGTGTTGGGTCTTATGGCAGCAGCGTCCAGCGTAATCCCGTCTGGCCTGCTGCACATGAGAGCCCTGCAGTGGTGGTTAAAATCCAAGGGATTCTCCCCGAGGGGAAATCTGTTCCGTACGGATTATGAGCAGGTGCTTTCTTTCCCTGTCAGTATGGAAGAAACTTGGTTCCTGTCCCAAGGGCCCGTGTTGGGAGCGTCATGTCGCCGGACAATTATTTCGACAGATGCCTCACTCACGGGATGGGGCGCGGTCATGGACGGCCGCTTCGCGAGAGGCTCCTGGGAGGAGCATCATTTCTCTTGGCAAATAAATTGCCTGGAAATGTTGGCGGTTTTCAGAGCTCTGAGGAGTTTTCTGCCCGCTCTCCGCAGTCGCCACATCCTTGTCAGGACCGACAACACGGCGGTGGTGGCCTATTTGAATCACTGCGCTGCTGCACTCGCTCCATTATGCAAGCTGGCGCATCGGATCCTCCTGTGGTCCCAGCAGAGACTGCTGTCCCTCAGAGCGATGTACATCCCTGGGACCCAGAATCAGGGAGCAGACCTGCTGTCGAGACAGGGGCTGAGGCCCGGGGAATGGAGACTCCACCCCGAGGTGGTGGAGTTATTATGCGTAGAGTCGGCACCATAGATGTGGACTTTTTTGCGCTGCGAGAGACGACACACTGTCCTCTGTGGTTCTCCCTCTCGCCCCCTGCCCCGCTAGGGCTGGATGCCATGGTACAGATGCTTTTCCCCCAGTCGCTCTGCTTCCGGGGGTTCTGGAGCGGGTCCGTCAGGACGGTGTCAGCCTACTGTTAGTAGCCCCGTTTTGGCCGGCCCGAGTGTGGTTCTCTGACTTAATTTTGCTCCTAGAGGGCCCGCCATGGCAGGTCCCTCTGAGGAAGGACCCTTAAGATGGACTTTCTCCGCGCTATCACCTCTCTGAGGAGGTTGGGGGATCTCCAGGCACTTTCGGTATCTGCCTGGAGTTTGCCCCGGGGAGGGTCAGAGCCATCCTGCACCCCTGTCCGGGCTATGTCCCTAAGGTCCCATCCAGGCAGGGTCCACGGTGCTGCAGGCATTTCATCCCCCACCTCATGTGACTTCATCTTCACCTGTCAGAGCACTCAGTCTTCCCGGTGGAGGAAAGCAGAGCAGTTGCTGGTGTGTTTCGGGTCCCCCAAGGCTGGGCTCCCCGCTTCCAAACAGCAACTGGATTGTTCCGACTCTACTCGGGGCAGGGGCGTCGCTCCAGGATTTGTGTGATGCGGCTGGCTGGGCCACCCCTCACACCTTCATCCAGTTCTACAGTCTGGACCTTCCTTCTGCACCCGTGCGCTCTCCTCCTAGTCGTGCCGTCAGGTTCTGCACGCTGGGGGCAGACGGGGTTTCGGCGCGGCCTAAGTGGGTATTCTCGTTCCCATAGTGTCGTCACCCACGCAGTTCGAGTTCCCTCAAAGGGGGACGTCTCGGGTTACGTATGTAACCCTTGTTCCCCGAGAAGGGGAATGAGACACTGCGTCGGTCCACCACACCTCACACCGCCTGGAGTGCCTTGCTTCATAGAAAAGGGCTAATGTGTCCTGTGTGCCGGCGTGCTTATATACGCCTCCAGTTACGCCGTCACACGCTACTGTTCTAGCAACACCAATAGGATTGGAGTAGTTTCATTCATGTTCAGCCCTGCCACGCCCAGAGGCGTTCCCATAGTGTCGTCACCGACGCAGTGTCTCATTCCCCTTCTCGGGGAACAAGGGTTACATACGTAACCCGAGAAGATTTCTGCTCACATCAGAGGATTTTTCTGTCGTAAAAATAGTCTTCAATATCTGTGTTTTTTCCAGTTTAATTTGCTGTCCAGGCAGACACTGAGATATTTCTTTATTTATTTCTTCTTCTTTTTTTTCTAAACCTGTCCTGCCCAGCAGCCTGGTATAGAGTATGATGACCTGGATACCATATTGTGCCAGACAGATTTTACTTTAACAAGAGAGTAATAATATACTCCTTTGTCTGTTTTATTATTTATTTAATTATGTATTGATTTGTCACCAGGCTGGACAGGGGGGCAGACACGAGGATAGGGGGGCACAAACAGGCAGCACAGAGAAAGGACAAGACCTGCAAGAGAAGGGGGATAGAAGATGGGGACAACAGGGAATAGCAGAGGGAAACACCAATTGCAGAAAGCAACAAAACCTGCAACAGAACAGAGAGGGGGGCTTGGGGAGGAGAAAAACAAAAACAAATAATGAAAACAATAATAATAATAAAAGACAACCAGCCGAACAGCAGCAATAAACAGCTGACATAGTATTTAAACTAAGAGAAAATGAAAACAAGAAACAGTCAAGCACACTAAATAAGCAACACAGCACAGCCACGAGAGCTAGAATAATAACAATTAATTTAAATAAGTAACTGAAAGAAAAGCATCATGAATAATTCTACCAGGGACAACCTAAATTTGTTTGTGTCTATGTGTGAGACTGTGTGTGTCTGTGTGCGTGTGGGTGAATGTGTCTGTATATGTGTGTCTGTATGTGTGTGTACATGTGTGTGCGCATAAGCCTGTTAAAGAATGTAGTTGTTAGTGAGAGTGAGATGCCACACCTACCCCAGCAACAGGCAGGCAAGAACCCCAGTAGCCAATAGGGGTGGGAGAAAGAAAAAAAAAAATACATCAAAAAACAAAGACTCCCAGATGCACCGCGATGCAAACGCGGAAGACCCTGACCCAAATGCCAGTTGACAATGTAATGCAGACGGAACGCAAGAAGCGTGAGCCGCGGAAGAGCAGTGCCTGGACCGACCGCAGCGCGCACAAAAAACATAGGTCAGTGCTCCCCAGAGCGCGCAGCAAACAACCAAAACGCCCAAATGCCGCGCAATCATCAACACCAATGTAAAAGTGACGAGCCCAACGCGCACACTGCACGAGCACGGCAACACCCAATGCCCAGCAGCCGCCTGCGAATCCCGCATGCGAGGTCGTGCAAACAAGAGAGAGTGAGCGGAATAACACGACAGCTAAATCTAGTGGAGAGAAACACCAGCAGCAAGTCCCAGCCCGGCAGCAAACACGCCAGGTCACCGTGCAGCTGCCAATAAAAGTCTGCCGTCCCCCCAACCGCCGGAAAAACTAAGGCCACCAGCGCCGACATCCCCCATGCCCAGCATGCCCCCCGGCCACCGTGCATCACCAGCCAAACCCTGTCTGATTATTGTTTTCAGCTCCCTTTCTAAGCTCCCTAAAATCACTTGTACTTCCTGTAAAATCATTGGTCTTTCCTTCTATGTCTATTTTGTAGACTCAGTATGTCTGTATTCTGCATGCCAATTGATGGTCTATGTACAGTCTGAAAAGAAATTCTCTCCATAGAGTACAATGCAGATTGAATCTGATTCTGAATCTCAGACAGCAACAAATGTGCAACACTGGGATCAATATAATCCATAATGACTTCACTGCACAAAGGTGTTGTGAATATTGTTGTATTTGCTGATGACAGACTCCTGTCATGAACTTTGTCCTGTTTTCTTCCACAGACGTTACATATGACATTGATCTAGTCCTGGAATTGCGTATCCCAGTCTCCAGTGTGCCATCATATTTCATTGAACTATTCAGGAACACTGTGAGAAGTGTCTCGCTCCCCTACACCATCAATCAGTCTTTAAAAGTGATAGGTTTAAATTTCACCACAGGTAAGAACTTTTGTTAATTGTTTCCTTGTGTAATCGTTTGGCTAATTGATTGCATTTTTATCCAATAGTGTATGATTTGCATAGAATGGCTTGAACTTTTTTTGAATGTCTTTAAAAGGGTGCTATCCAAACTCCACTGGAGGACTGCAGTGTCACTGTGAAGAGCAGTTTGCTTGGTCATGTGACCAGTGCAACATCTATGGTGCGTGCAGCAATGCCACCAGCCAAACCTGTGGGTGCATAAATGGACTTCCGTCTGATGGAGCGCTCTGTGAACCAATCACAAGTAAACATTTCTGTTTAGTAGTCATTCAAATAAAAGTCGTGCTCTTGCAAAAATAACATTTACAAATGAATATCTACTGTATCTGCGTTTCTGTGCTACATGTGTTGACATAAACATGTACATGTTTATTAGAATAGAAGATATTTTGTTTTCCTAAGCAGATAAACATACATTCATTTAATCTCCATCGTTGCTCCACAGATGTCACACCGTGTCCAACCCCCACTCCTAGTATGTACTTTTTTTTGCCTTTTTGTTGAATGGAGAAAATTTAAAAGGGTCTAAAGTAGCTGAAGACACTTGTTGGAAACTTAAAAAACAGTGTTTTGATCTAAAAGGACTTGACTGCACATAGTGAAAAGTGTTGTGAATATCTTTGTATATGCTGATGACAGACTCCTTTCATGAACTTTGTCCTGTTTTCTTCCACAGACGTTACATATGACATTGATCTAGTCCTGGAGTTGCGTATCCCAGTCTCCAGTGTGCCATCATATTTCATTGAACTATTCAGGAACACTGTGAGAAGTGTCTCGCTCCCCTACACCATCAATCAGTCTTTAAAAGTGATAGGTTTAAATTTCACCACAGGTAAGAACTTTTGTTAATTGTTTCCTTGTGTAATCTTTTTGGCTAATTGAATGCTTTTTTATCCAATAGTGTATGATTTGCATAGAATGGCTTGAACTTTTCTTGAATGTCTTTAAAAGGTTGCTATCCAAACTCCACTGGAGGACTGCAGTGTCACTGTGAAGAGCAGTTTGCTTGGTCATGTGACAAGTGCAACATCTACGGTGCGTGCAGCAATGCCACCAGCCAAACCTGTGGGTGCATAAATGGACTTCCGTCTGATGGAGCGCTCTGTGAACCAATCACAAGTAAGCATTTCTGTTTAGTAGTAGTTCAAATAAAAGTTTTGCTAGAAAATTTACTAATGAATATCTACTGTATCTGCATTTCTATGCTACATGTGTTGACATAAACATGTACATGTTGATTAGAATAGAAGATATTTTGTTTTCCTAAGCAGATAAACATACATTCATTTAATCTCCAATATTGCTCCACAGATGTCACACCGTGTCCAACCCCCACTCCTAGTATGTACATTTTTTTGCCTTTTTGTTGAATGGAGAAAATTTAAAAGGGTCTAAAGTAATTGAAGACACTTGTTGGAAACTTAAAAAACAGTGTTTTGATCTAAAAGGACTTGACTGCACATAGTGAAAAGTGTTGTGAATATCTTTGTATATGCTGATGACAGACTCCTGTCATGAACTTTGTCCTGTTTTCTTCCACAGACGTTACATATGACATTGATCTAGTCCTGGAATTGCGTATCCCAGTCTCCAGTGTGCCATCATATTTCATTGAACTATTCAGGAACACTGTGAGAAGTGTCTTGCTCCCCTACACCATCAATCAGTCTTTAAAAGTGATAGGTTTAAATTTCACCACAGGTAAGAACTTTTGTTAATTGTTTCCTTGTGTAATCTGTTTGGCTAATTGATTGCTTTTTTATCCAGTGGTGTATGATTTGCATAGAATGGCTTGAACTTTTCTTGAATGTCTTTAAAAGGTTGCTATCCAAACTCCACTGGAGGACTGCAGTGTCACTGCGAAGAGCAGTTTGCTTGGTCATGTGACAAGTGCAACATCTACGGTGCGTGCAGCAATGCCACCAGCCAAACCTGTGGGTGCATAAATGGACTTCCGTCTGATGGAGCGCTCTGTGAACCAATCACAAGTAAGCATTTCTGTTTAGTAGTAGTTCAAATAAATTTTTGCTAGAAAATTTACTAATGAATATCTACTGTATCTGCATTTCTATGCTACATGTGTTGACATAAACATGTACATGTTTATTAGAATAGAAGATATTTTGTTTTCCTAAGCAGATAAACATACATTCATTTAATCTCCATCGTTGCTCCACAGATGTCACACCGTGTCCAACCCCCACTCCTAGTATGTACATTTTTTTGCCTTTTTGTTGAATGGAGAAAATTTAAAAGGGTCTAAAGTAGCTGAAGACACTTGTTGGAAACTTAAAAAACAGTGTTTTGATCTAAAAGGACTTGACTGCACATAGTGAAAAGTGTTGTGAATATCTTTGTATATGCTGATGACAGACTCCTTTCATGAACTTTGTCCTGTTTTCTTCCACAGACGTTACATATGACATTGATCTAGTCCTGGAGTTGCGTATCCCAGTCTCCAGTGTGCCATCATATTTCATTGAACTATTCAGGAACACTGTGAGAAGTGTCTCGCTCCCCTACACCATCAATCAGTCTTTAAAAGTGATAGGTTTAAATTTCACCACAGGTAAGAACTTTTGTTAATTGTTTCCTTGTGTAATCTGTTTGGCTAATTGATTGCTTTTTTATCCAGTGGTGTATGATTTGCATAGAATGGCTTGAACTTTTCTTGAATGTCTTTAAAAGGTTGCTATCCAAACTCCACTGGAGGACTGCAGTGTCACTGCGAAGAGCAGTTTGCTTGGTCATGTGACCAGTGCAACATCTACGGTGCGTGCAGCAATGCCACCAGCCAAACCTGTGGGTGCATAAATGGACTTCCGTCTGATGGAGCGCTCTGTGAACCAATCACAAGTAAGCATTTCTGTTTAGTAGTAGTTCAAATAAAAGTTTTGCTAGAAAATTTACTAATGAATATCTACTGTATCTGCATTTCTATGCTACATGTGTTGACATAAACATGTACATGTTTATTAGAATAGAAGATATTTTGTTTTCCTAAGCAGATAAACATACATTCATTTAATCTCCATCGTTGCTCCACAGATGTCACACCGTGTCCAACCCCCACTCCTAGTATGTACATTTTTTTGCCTTTTTGTTAAATGGAGACAATTTAAAAGAGTCTAAAGTAGTTGAAGACACTTGTTGGAAACTTAAAAAACAGTGTTTTGATCTAAAAGGACTTGACTGCACATAGTGAAAAGTGTTGTGAATATCTTTGTATATGCTGATGACAGACTCCTGTCATGAACTTTGTCCTGTTTTCTTCCACAGACGTTACATATGACATTGATCTAGTCCTGGAATTGCGTATCCCAGTCTCCAGTGTGCCATCATATTTCATTGAACTATTCAGGAACACTGTGAGAAGTGTCTTGCTCCCCTACACCATCAATCAGTCTTTAAAAGTGATAGGTTTAAATTTCACCACAGGTAAGAACTTTTGTTAATTGTTTCCTTGTGTAATCTGTTTGGCTAATTGATTGCTTTTTTATCCAGTGGTGTATGATTTGCATAGAATGGCTTGAACTTTTCTTGAATGTCTTTAAAAGGTTGCTATCCAAACTCCACTGGAGGACTGCAGTGTCACTGCGAAGAGCAGTTTGCTTGGTCATGTGACAAGTGCAACATCTACGGTGCGTGCAGCAATGCCACCAGCCAAACCTGTGGGTGCATAAATGGACTTCCGTCTGATGGAGCGCTCTGTGAACCAATCACAAGTAAGCATTTCTGTTTAGTAGTAGTTCAAATAAATTTTTGCTAGAAAATTTACTAATGAATATCTACTGTATCTGCATTTCTATGCTACATGTGTTGACATAAACATGTACATGTTTATTAGAATAGAAGATATTTTGTTTTCCTAAGCAGATAAACATACATTCATTTAATCTCCATCGTTGCTCCACAGATGTCACACCGTGTCCAACCCCCACTCCTAGTATGTACATTTTTTTGCCTTTTTGTTAAATGGAGACAATTTAAAAGAGTCTAAAGTAGTTGAAGACACTTGTTGGAAACTTAAAAAACAGTGTTTTGATCTAAAAGGACTTGACTGCACATAGTGAAAAGTGTTGTGAATATTGTTGTATATGCTGATGACAGACTCCTGTCATGAACTTTGTCCTGTTTTCTTCCACAGACGTTACATATGACATTGATCTAGTCCTGGAATTGCGTATCCCAGTCTCCAGTGTGCCATCATATTTCATTGAACTATTCAGGAACACTGTGAGAAGTGTCTTGCTCCCCTACACCATCAATCAGTCTTTAAAAGTGATAGGTTTAAATTTCACCACAGGTAAGAACTTTTGTTAATTGTTTCCTTGTGTAATCTGTTTGGCTAATTGATTGCTTTTTTATCCAGTGGTGTATGATTTGCATAGAATGGCTTGAACTTTTCTTGAATGTCTTTAAAAGGTTGCTATCCAAACTCCACTGGAGGACTGCAGTGTCACTGTGAAGAGCAGTTTGCTTGGTCATGTGACAGTGCAACATCTACGGTGCGTGCAGCAATGCCACCAGCCAAACCTGTGGGTGCATAAATGGACTTCCGTCTGATGGAGCGCTCTGTGAACCAATCACAAGTAAGCATTTCTGTTTAGTAGTAGTTCAAATAAAAGTCGTGCTTGCAAAAATAACATTTACTAATGAATATCTACTGTATCTGCGTTTCTGTGCTACATGTGTTGACATAAACATGTACATGTTTATTAGAATAGAAGATATTTTGTTTTCCTAAGCAGATAAACATACATTCATTTAATCTCCATCGTTGCTCCACAGATGTCACACCGTGTCCAACCCCCACTCCTAGTATGTACATTTTTTTGCCTTTTTGTTGAATGGAGAAATTTAAAAGGTCTAAAGTAGTTGAAGACACTTGTTGGAAACTTCAAAAACAGTGTTTTGATCTAAAAGGACTTGACTGCACATAGTGAAAAGTGTTGTGAATATTGTTGTATATGCTGATGACAGACTCCTGTCATGAACTTTGTCCTGTTTTCTTCCACAGACGTTACATATGACATTGATCTAGTCCTGGAATTGCGTATCCCAGTCTCCAGTGTGCCATCATATTTCATTGAACTATTCAGGAACACTGTGAGAAGTGTCTTGCTCCCCTACACCATCAATCAGTCTTTAAAAGTGATAGGTTTAAATTTCACCACAGGTAAGAACTTTTGTTAATTGTTTCCTTGTGTAATCTGTTTGCTAATTGATGCTTTTTTATCCAGTGTATGATTTGCATAGAATGGCTGAACTTTTCTTGAATGTCTTTAAAAGGTGCTATCCAAACTCCACTGGAGGACTGCAGTGTCACTGTGAAGAGCAGTTTGCTTGGTCATGTGACCAGTGCAACATCTACGGTGCGTGCAGCAATGCCACCAGCCAAACCTGTGGGTGCATAAATGGACTTCCGTCTGATGGAGCGCTCTGTGAACCAATCACAAGTAAGCATTTCTGTTTAGTAGTAGTTCAAATAAAAGTCGTGCTTTGCAAAAATAACATTTACTAATGAATATCTACTGTATCTGCGTTTCTGTGCTACATGTGTTGACATAAACATGTACATGTTTATTAGAATAGAAGATATTTTGTTTTCCTAAGCAGATAAACATGCATTCATTTAATCTCCAATATTGCTCCACAGATGTCACACCGTGTCCAACCCCCACTCCTAGTATGTACATTTTTTTGCCTTTTTGTTGAATGGAGAAATTTAAAAGGTCTAAAGTAGTTGAAGACACTTGTTGGAAACTTAAAAAACAGTGTTTTGATCTAAAAGGACTTGACTGCACATAGTGAAAAGTGTTGTGAATATTTTGTATATGCTGATGACAGACTCCTGTCATGAACTTTGTCCTGTTTTCTTCCACAGACGTTACATATGACATTGATCTAGTCCTGGAATTGCGTATCCCAGTCTCCAGTGTGCCATCATATTTCATTGAACTATTCAGGAACACTGTGAGAAGTGTCTTGCTCCCCTACACCATCAATCAGTCTTTAAAAGTGATAGGTTTAAATTTCACCACAGGTAAGAACTTTTGTTAATTGTTTCCTTGTGTAATCTGTTTGGCTAATTGATTGCTTTTTTATCCAGTGGTGTATGATTTGCATAGAATGGCTTGAACTTTTCTTGAATGTCTTTAAAAGGTGCTATCCAAACTCCACTGGAGGACTGCAGTGTCACTGTGAAGAGCAGTTTGCTTGGTCATGTGACAAGTGCAACATCTACGGTGCGTGCAGCAATGCCACCAGCCAAACCTGTGGGTGCATAAATGGACTTCCGTCTGATGGAGCGCTCTGTGAACCAATCACAAGTAAGCATTTCTGTTTAGTAGTAGTTCAAATAAAAGTTTGCTAGAAAATTTACTAATGAATATCTACTGTATCTGCGTTTCTGTGCTACATGTGTTGACATAAACATGTACATGTTTATTAGAATAGAAGATATTTTGTTTTCCTAAGCAGATAAACATACATTCATTTAATCTCCATCGTTGCTCCACAGATGTCACACCGTGTCCAACCCCCACTCCTAGTATGTACATTTTTTTGCCTTTTTGTTGAATGGAGACAATTTAAAAGAGTCTAAAGTAGTTGAAGACACTTGTTGGAAACTTAAAAACAGTGTTTTGATCTAAAAGGACTTGACTGCACATAGTGAAAAGTGTTGTGAATATTGTTGTATATGCTGATGACAGACTCCTGTCATGAACTTTGTCCTGTTTTCTTCCACAGACGTTACATATGACATTGATCTAGTCCTGGAATTGCGTATCCCAGTCTCCAGTGTGCCATCATATTTCATTGAACTATTCAGGAACACTGTGAGAAGTGTCTTGCTCCCCTACACCATCAATCAGTCTTTAAAAGTGATAGGTTTAAATTTCACCACAGGTAAGAACTTTTGTTAATTGTTTCCTTGTGTAATCTGTTTGGCTAATTGATTGCTTTTTTATCCAGTGGTGTATGATTTGCATAGAATGGCTTGAACTTTTCTTGAATGTCTTTAAAAGGTGCTATCCAAACTCCACTGGAGGACTGCAGTGTCACTGTGAAGAGCAGTTTGCTTGGTCATGTGACAGTGCAACATCTACGGTGCGTGCAGCAATGCCACCAGCCAAACCTGTGGGTGCATAAATGGACTTCCGTCTGATGGAGCGCTCTGTGAACCAATCACAAGTAAGCATTTCTGTTTAGTAGTAGTTCAAATAAAAGTTTTGCTAAAAATTTACTAATGAATATCTACTGTATCTGCGTTTCTGTGCTACATGTGTTGACATAAACATGTACATGTTTATTAGAATAGAAGATATTTTGTTTTCCTAAGCAGATAAACATACATTCATTTAATCTCCAATGTTGCTCCACAGATGTCACACCGTGTCCAACCCCCACTCCTAGTATGTACATTTTTTTGCCTTTTTGTTGAATGGAGACAATTTAAAAGAGTCTAAAGTAGTTGAAGACACTTGTTGGAAACTTAAAAACAGTGTTTTGATCTAAAAGGACTTGACTGCACATAGTGAAAAGTGTTGTGAATATTGTTGTATATGCTGATGACAGACTCCTGTCATGAACTTTGTCCTGTTTTCTTCCACAGACGTTACATATGACATTGATCTAGTCCTGGAATTGCGTATCCCAGTCTCCAGTGTGCCATCATATTTCATTGAACTATTCAGGAACACTGTGAGAAGTGTCTTGCTCCCCTACACCATCACTCAGTCTTTAAAAGTGATAGGTTTAAATTTCACCACAGGTAAGAACTTTTGTTAATTGTTTCCTTGTGTAATCTGTTTGGCTAATTGATTGCTTTTTTATCCAATGGTGTATGATTTGCATAGAATGGCTTGAACTTTTCTTGAATGTCTTTAAAAGGTGCTATCCAAACTCCACTGGAGGACTGCAGTGTCACTGTGAAGAGCAGTTTGCTTGGTCATGTGACAGTGCAACATCTACGGTCCGTGCAGCAATGCCACCAGCCAAACCTGTGGGTGCATAAATGGACTTCCGTCTGATGGAGCGCTCTGTGAACCAATCACAAGTAAGCATTTCTGTTTAGTAGTAGTTCAAATAAAAGTCGTGCTCTTGCAAAAATAACATTTACTAATGAATATCTACTGTATCTGCGTTTCTGTGCTACATGTGTTGACATAAACATGTACATGTTTATTAGAATAGAAGATATTTTGTTTTCCTAAGCAGATAAACATACATTCATTTAATCTCCAATGTTGCTCCACAGATGTCACACCGTGTCCAACCCCCACTCCTAGTATGTACATTTTTTTGCCTTTTTGTTGAATGGAGAAATTTAAAGAGTCTAAAGTAGTTGAAGACACTTGTTGGAAACTTCAAAAACAGTGTTTTGATCTAAAAGGACTTGACTGCACATAGTGAAAAGTGTTGTGAATATTGTTGTATATGCTGATGACAGACTCCTGTCATGAACTTTGTCCTGTTTTCTTCCACAGACGTTACATATGACATTGATCTAGTCCTGGAATTGCGTATCCCAGTCTCCAGTGTGCCATCATATTTCATTGAACTATTCAGGAACACTGTGAGAAGTGTCTTGCTCCCCTACACCATCAATCAGTCTTTAAAAGTGATAGGTTTAAATTTCACCACAGGTAAGAACTTTTGTTAATTTTTCCTTGTGTAATCTGTTTGCTAATTGAATGCTTTTTTATCCAATGGTGTATGATTTGCATAGAATGGCTGAACTTTTCTTGAATGTCTTTAAAAGGGTGCTATCCAAACTCCACTGGAGGACTGCAGTGTCACTGTGAGAGCAGTTTGCTTGGTCATGTGACCAGTGCAACATCTACGGTCGTGCAGCAATGCCACCAGCCAAACCTGTGGGTGCATAAATGGACTTCCGTCTGATGGAGCGCTCTGTGAACCAATCACAAGTAAGCATTTCTGTTTAGTAGTAGTTCAAATAAAAGTCGTGCTTTGCAAAAATAACATTTACTAATGAATATCTACTGTATCTGCGTTTCTGTGCTACATGTGTTGACATAAACATGTACATGTTTATTAGAATAGAAGATATTTTGTTTTCCTAAGCAGATAAACATGCATTAATTTAATCTCCAATATTGCTCCACAGATGTCACACCGTGTCCAACTCCCACTCCTAGTATGTACATTTTTTTGCCTTTTTGTTGAATGGAGAAATTTAAAAGAGTCTAAAGTAGTTGAAGACACTTGTTGGAAACTTCAAAAACAGTGTTTTGATCTAAAAGGACTTGACTGCACATAGTGAAAAGTGTTGTGAATATTTTGTATATGCTGATGACAGACTCCTGTCATGAACTTTGTCCTGTTTTCTTCCACAGACGTTACATATGACATTGATCTAGTCCTGGAATTGCGTATCCCAGTCTCCAGTGTGCCATCATATTTCATTGAACTATTCAGGAACACTGTGAGAAGTGTCTTGCTCCCCTACACCATCAATCAGTCTTTAAAAGTGATAGGTTTAAATTTCACCACAGGTAAGAACTTTTGTTAATTGTTTCCTTGTGTAATCTGTTTGCTAATTGAATGCTTTTTTATCCAATGGTGTATGATTTGCATAGAATGGCTTGAACTTTTCTTGAATGTCTTTAAAAGGTGCTATCCAAACTCCACTGGAGGACTGCAGTGTCACTGTGAAGAGCAGTTTGCTTGGTCATGTGACCAGTGCAACATCTACGGTGCGTGCAGCAATGCCACCAGCCAAACCTGTGGGTGCATAAATGGACTTCCGTCTGATGGAGCGCTCTGTGAACCAATCACAAGTAAGCATTTCTGTTTAGTAGTAGTTCAAATAAAAGTCGTGCTGTGGCCAAAATAACATTTACTAATGAATATCTACTGTATCTGCGTTTCTGTGCTACATGTGTTGACATAAACATGTACATGTTTATTAGAATAGAAGATATTTTGTTTTCCTAAGCAGATAAACATGCATTCATTTAATCTCCAATGTTGCTCCACAGATGTCACACCGTGTCCAACCCCCACTCCTAGTATGTACATTTTTTTGCCTTTTTGTTGAATGGAGACAATTTAAAAGAGTCTAAAGTAGTTGAAGACACTTGTTGGAAACTTCAAAAACAGTGTTTTGATCTAAAAGGACTTGACTGCACATAGTGAAAAGTGTTGTGAATATTGTTGTATATGCTGATGACAGACTCCTGTCATGAACTTTGTCCTGTTTTCTTCCACAGACGTTACATATGACATTGATCTAGTCCTGGAATTGCGTATCCCAGTCTCCAGTGTGCCATCATATTTCATTGAACTATTCAGGAACACTGTGAGAAGTGTCTTGCTCCCCTACACCATCACTCAGTCTTTAAAAGTGATAGGTTTAAATTTCACCACAGGTAAGAACTTTTGTTAATTGTTTCCTTGTGTAATCTGTTTTGCTAATTGAATGCTTTTTTATCCAATGGTGTATGATTTGCATAGAATGGCTGAACTTTTCTTGAATGTCTTTAAAAGGGTGCTATCCAAACTCCACTGGAGGACTGCAGTGTCACTGTGAGAGCAGTTTGCTTGGTCATGTGACCAGTGCAACATCTACGGTCCGTGCAGCAATGCCACCAGCCAAACCTGTGGGTGCATAAATGGACTTCCGTCTGATGGAGCGCTCTGTGAACCAATCACAAGTAAGCATTTCTGTTTAGTAGTAGTTCAAATAAAAGTCGTGCTTGCAAAAATAACATTTACTAATGAATATCTACTGTATCTGCGTTTCTGTGCTACATGTGTTGACATAAACATGTACATGTTTATTAGAATAGAAGATATTTTGTTTTCCTAAGCAGATAAACATACATTCATTTAATCTCCAATGTTGCTCCACAGATGTCACACCGTGTCCAACCCCCACTCCTAGTATGTACATTTTTTTGCCTTTTTGTTGAATGGAGACAATTTAAAAGAGTCTAAAGTAGTTGAAGACACTTGTTGGAAACTTCAAAAACAGTGTTTTGATCTAAAAGGACTTGACTGCACATAGTGAAAAGTGTTGTGAATATTGTTGTATATGCTGATGACAGACTCCTGTCATGAACTTTGTCCTGTTTTCTTCCACAGACGTTACATATGACATTGATCTAGTCCTGGAATTGCGTATCCCAGTCTCCAGTGTGCCATCATATTTCATTGAACTATTCAGGAACACTGTGAGAAGTGTCTTGCTCCCCTACACCATCACTCAGTCTTTAAAAGTGATAGGTTTAAATTTCACCACAGGTAAGAACTTTTGTTAATTGTTTCCTTGTGTAATCTGTTTTGCTAATTGAATGCTTTTTTATCCAATGGTGTATGATTTGCATAGAATGGCTGGAACTTTTCTTGAATGTCTTTAAAAGGGTGCTATCCAAACTCCACTGGAGGACTGCAGTGTCACTGTGAGAGCAGTTTGCTTGGTCATGTGACCAGTGCAACATCTACGGTCGTGCAGCAATGCCACCAGCCAAACCTGTGGGTGCATAAATGGACTTCCGTCTGATGGAGCGCTCTGTGAACCAATCACAAGTAAGCATTTCTGTTTAGTAGTAGTTCAAATAAAAGTCGTGCTGTGCCAAAAATAACATTTACTAATGAATATCTACTGTATCTGCGTTTCTGTGCTACATGTGTTGACATAAACATGTACATGTTTATTAGAATAGAAGATATTTTGTTTTCCTAAGCAGATAAACATACATTCATTTAATCTCCAATGTTGCTCCACAGATGTCACACCGTGTCCAACCCCCACTCCTAGTATGTACATTTTTTGCCTTTTTGTTGAATGGAGAAATTTAAAAGGTCTAAAGTAGTTGAAGACACTTGTTGGAAACTTCAAAAACAGTGTTTTGATCTAAAAGGACTTGACTGCACATAGTGAAAAGTGTTGTGAATATTGTTTGTATATGCTGATGACAGACTCCTGTCATGAACTTTGTCCTGTTTTCTTCCACAGACGTTACATATGACATTGATCTAGCCCTGGAATTGCGTATCCCAGTCTCCAGTGTGCCATCATATTTCATTGAACAATTCAGGAACACTGTGAGAAGTGTCTCGCTCCCCTACACCATCACTCAGTCTTTAAAAGTGATAGACTTAAATTTCACCACAGGTAAGAACTTTTTTATATCTTTCCTTGTGTAATCTGTTTTCCTGATTGAATTCTGTTTTATCCAATGGTGTATGATTTGCATAGAATGGCTTGAACTTTTCTTGAATGTCTTTAAAAGGGTGCTATCCAAACTCCACTGGAGGACTGCAGTGTCACTGTGAAGAGCAGTTTGCTTGGTCATGTGACAAGTGCAACATCTACGGTGCGTGCAGCAATGCCACCAGCCAAACCTGTGGGTGCATAAATGGACTTCCGTCTGATGGAGCGCTCTGTGAACCAATCACAAGTAAGCATTTCTGTTTAGTAGTAGTTCAAATAAAAGTCGTGCTGTGGCCAAAAATAACATTTACTAATGAATATCTACTGTATCTGCGTGGCTGTGCTACATGTGTTGACATAAACATGTACATGTTGATTAGAATAGAAGATATTTTGTTTCCTAAGCAGATAAACATGCATTAATTTAATCTCCAATGTTGCTCCACAGATGTCACACCGTGTCCAACCCCCACTCCTAGTATGTACATTTTTTGCCTTTTTGTTGAATGGAGACAATTTAAAAGAGTCTAAAGTAGTTGAAGACACTTGTTGGAAACTTCAAAAACAGTGTTTTGATCTAAAAGGACTTGACTGCACATAGTGAAAAGTGTTGTGAATATTGTTGTATATGCTGATGACAGACTCCTGTCATGAACTTTGTCCTGTTTTCTTCCACAGACGTTACATATGACATTGATCTAGTCCTGGAATTGCGTATCCCAGTCTCCAGTGTGCCATCATATTTCATTGAACTATTCAGGAACACTGTGAGAAGTGTCTTGCTCCCCTACACCATCACTCAGTCTTTAAAAGTGATAGGTTTAAATTTCACCACAGGTAAGAACTTTTGTTAATTGTTTCCTTGTGTAATCTGTTTTGCTAATTGAATGCTTTTTATCCAATGGTGTATGATTTGCATAGAATGGCTTGAACTTTTCTTGAATGTCTTTAAAAGGGTGCTATCCAAACTCCACTGGAGGACTGCAGTGTCACTGTGAGAGCAGTTTGCTTGGTCATGTGACCAGTGCAACATCTACGGTCCGTGCAGCAATGCCACCAGCCAAACCTGTGGGTGCATAAATGGACTTCCGTCTGATGGAGCGCTCTGTGAACCAATCACAAGTAAGCATTTCTGTTTAGTAGTAGTTCAAATAAAAGTCGTGCTGTGGCCAAAAATAACATTTACTAATGAATATCTACTGTATCTGCGTGGCTGTGCTACATGTGTTGACATAAACATGTACATGTTTATTAGAATAGAAGATATTTTGTTTTCCTAAGCAGATAAACATACATTAATTTAATCTCCAATGTTGCTCCACAGATGTCACACCGTGTCCAACCCCCACTCCTAGTATGTACATTTTTTGCCTTTTTGTTGAATGGAGAAATTTAAAAGGTCTAAAGTAGTTGAAGACACTTGTTGGAAACTTCAAAAACAGTGTTTTGATCTAAAAGGGCTTGACTGCACATAGTGAAAAGTGTTGTGAATATCTTTGTATATGCTGATGACAGACTCCTGTCATGAACTTTGTCCTGTTTTCTTCCACAGACGTTACATATGACATTGATCTAGCCCTGGAATTGCGTATCCCAGTCTCCAGTGTGCCATCATATTTCATTGAACAATTCAGGAACACTGTGAGAAGTGTCTCGCTCCCCTACACCATCACTCAGTCTTTAAAAGTGATAGACTTAAATTTCACCACAGGTAAGAACTTTTTTATATCTTTCCTTGTGTAATCTGTTTTCCTGATTGAATTCTGTTTTATCCAATGGTGTATGATTTGCATAGAATGGCTTGAACTTTTCTTGAATGTCTTTAAAAGGGTGCTATCCAAACTCCACTGGAGGACTGCAGTGTCACTGTGAAGAGCAGTTTGCTTGGTCATGTGACAAGTGCAACATCTACGGTGCGTGCAGCAATGCCACCAGCCAAACCTGTGGGTGCATAAATGGACTTCCGTCTGATGGAGCGCTCTGTGAACCAATCACAAGTAAGCATTTCTGTTTAGTAGTAGTTCAAATAAAAGTCGTGCTGTGGCCAAAAATAACATTTACAAATGAATATCTACTGTATCTGCGTGGCTGTGCTACATGTGTTGACATAAACATGTACATGTGATTAGAATAGAAGATATTTTGTTTCCTAAGCAGATAAACATGCATTAATTTAATCTCCAATGTTGCTCCACAGATGTCACACTGTGTCCAACCCCCACTCCTAGTATGTACATTTTTTGCTTTTTGTTGAATGGAGACAGTTTAAAGAGTCTAAAGTAATTGAAGACTCTTGTTGGAAACTTCAAAAACAGTGTTTTGATCTAAAAGGACTTGACTGCACATAGTGAAAAGTGTTGTGAATATCTTTGTATATGCTGATGACAGACTCCTGTCATGAACTTTGTCCTGTTTTCTTCCACAGACGTTACATATGACATTGATCTAGCCCTGGAATTGCGTATCCCAGTCTCCAGTGTGCCATCATATTTCATTGAACAATTCAGGAACACTGTGAGAAGTGTCTCGCTCCCCTACACCATCACTCAGTCTTTAAAAGTGATAGACTTAAATTTCACCACAGGTAAGAACTTTTTTAATCTTTCCTTGTGTAATCTGTTTGCTGATTGAATTCTGTTTTATCCAATGGTGTATGATTTGCATAGAATGGCTTGAACTTTTCTTGAATGTCTTTAAAAGGGTGCTATCCAAACTCCACTGGAGGACTGCAGTGTCACTGTGAAGAGCAGTTTGCTTGGTCATGTGACAAGTGCAACATCTACGGTGCGTGCAGCAATGCCACCAGCCAAACCTGTGGGTGCATAAATGGACTTCCGTCTGATGGAGCGCTCTGTGAACCAATCACAAGTAAGCATTTCTGTTTAGTAGTAGTTCAAATAAAAGTCGTGCTGTGGCCAAAAATAACATTTACAAATGAATATCTACTGTATCTGCGTGGCTGTGCTACATGTGTTGACATAAACATGTACATGTGGATTAGAATAGAAGATATTTTGTTTCCCTAAGCAGATAAACATGCATTAATTTAATCTCCAATGTTGCTCCACAGATGTCACACTGTGTCCAACCCCCACTCCTAGTATGTACAATTTTTTGCTTTTTGTTGAATGGAGACAGTTTAACAGAGTCTAAAGTAATTGAAGACTCTTGTTGGAAACTTCAAAAACAGTGTTTTGATCTAAAAGGACTTGACTGCACATAGTGAAAAGTGTTGTGAATATCTTTGTATATGCTGATGACAGACTCCTGTCATGAACTTTGTCCTGTTTTCTTCCACAGACGTTACATATGACATTGATCTAGCCCTGGAATTGCGTATCCCAGTCTCCAGTGTGCCATCATATTTCATTGAACAATTCAGGAACACTGTGAGAAGTGTCTCGCTCCCCTACACCATCACTCAGTCTTTAAAAGTGATAGACTTAAATTTCACCACAGGTAAGAACTTTTTTTATATCTTTCCTTGTGTAATCTGTTTTCCTGATTGAATTCTGTTTTATCCAATGGTGTATGATTTGCATAGAATGGCTTGAACTTTTCTTGAATGTCTTTAAAAGGGTGCTATCCAAACTCCACTGGAGGACTGCAGTGTCACTGTGAAGAGCAGTTTGCTTGGTCATGTGACAGTGCAACATCTACGGTGCGTGCAGCAATGCCACCAGCCAAACCTGTGGGTGCATAAATGGACTTCCGTCTGATGGAGCGCTCTGTGAACCAATCACAAGTAAGCATTTCTGTTTAGTAGTAGTTCAAATAAAAGTCGTGCTGTGGCCAAAAATAACATTTACAAATGAATATCTACTGTATCTGCGTGGCTGTGCTACATGTGTTGACATAAACATGTACATGTGGATTAGAATAGAAGATATTTTGTTTCCCTAAGCAGATAAACATGCATTAATTTAATCTCCAATGTTGCTCCACAGATGTCACACTGTGTCCAACCCCCACTCCTAGTATGTACAATTTTTTGCTTTTTGTTGAATGGAGACAGTTTAACAGAGTCTAAAGTAATTGAAGACTCTTGTTGGAAACTTCAAAAACAGTGTTTTGATCTAAAAGGACTTGACTGCACATAGTGAAAAGTGTTGTGAATATCTTTGTATATGCTGATGACAGACTCCTGTCATGAACTTTGTCCTGTTTTCTTCCACAGACGTTACATATGACATTGATCTAGCCCTGGAATTGCGTATCCCAGTCTCCAGTGTGCCATCATATTTCATTGAACAATTCAGGAACACTGTGAGAAGTGTCTCGCTCCCCTACACCATCACTCAGTCTTTAAAAGTGATAGACTTAAATTTCACCACAGGTAAGAACTTTTTTTATATCTTTCCTTGTGTAATCTGTTTTCCTGATTGAATTCTGTTTTATCCAATGGTGTATGATTTGCATAGAATGGCTTGAACTTTTCTTGAATGTCTTTAAAAGGGTGCTATCCAAACTCCACTGGAGGACTGCAGTGTCACTGTGAAGAGCAGTTTGCTTGGTCATGTGACCAGTGCAACATCTACGGTGCGTGCAGCAATGCCACCAGCCAAACCTGTGGGTGCATAAATGGACTTCCGTCTGATGGAGCGCTCTGTGAACCAATCACAAGTAAGCATTTCTGTTTAGTAGTAGTTCAAATAAAAGTGGTGCTGTGAGAGGTTCCTGCAAATCACTCGGGCGCGAGATATAAGAACACTTCCTTCACTCTGTTCAATCTCACTCTCATTATCTTTTCACTCAATTACCTACTCATTTCTCACCATGTAAATATTTAATTAAAAGCAATGGTAAAAAGCTAAAAACAAAGAAAAAGAAAACAGGACAGTAAAAGTTACAGTGCAGTTTAAGTTATCAATCTACTAGTTAAAGGCAGTGGTAAAAAGAAAAATTTTAAATATTTAATTAAAAGCTATGGTAAAAAGAAATGTCTTCAGTCTTAATTTAAAAGAACTGACAGTTTCAGCAGACCTGCAGTTATCTGGAAGTTAAGATATACGGAGCATAATAACTGAATGCTGCTCCTCCTTGTTTAGATTTGACTCTGGGGACAGAAAGCAGACCTGCCCCAGACTACCTGAGAGGTCTGGATGGTTCATAACGAAGCAGAAGATCAGAAATGTATTTTGGCCCTAAACCATTTTGTGCTTTATAAACTAACAGCAGGATTTTGAAATCAATTCTTTGACAAACAGGAAGCCATTGTAAAGACCTCAGAACTGAAGTGATGTGATCCACGTTTTTGGTCTTAGTGAGGACACGAGCAGCAGCGTTCTGAATCAGCTGCAGCTGTCTGATGGATTTCTTAGGGAGCCCTGTAAGGACACCATTACAATAGTCGAGTCGACTGTCTAGTAATATGTTGTGGTTCACCATGTTGAACGCAGCACTGAGATCCAATAATACTAAGACTGAAATTCTGCCACTGTCAGTGTTTAAATTGATGTCATTGAAGACCTTAACAAGAGCCATCTCAGTGCTGTGGTGTGGTCGAAAACCTGACTAGAAGACATCAAAACAGTTATTTAGTTCCAAGAAAGCACTAAGCTGTAGAAAAACAGCTTTTTCAATGATTTTACTTAAAAATGGGAGATTTGATATGGGCCTGTAATTGCTCATTAGTGACCTGCTCTTTTTTAAGAGTGGCTTAATGACTGCAGTTTTCAGGGCCTATGGGAAAAAACCTGAGAGGAGAGACATGTTGACAATTTGTAGTAGATCTGAGGCCATGTATTTAGAAACATATTTGAAAAAACCTGTTGGCAGAATATCAAGGCAGTATGAGGAGGATTTCAGATGTTGTATTCTGTCCTCCAGGTTTTTATGGTTAATAGAATCAAATTGTCTCAAGCTATATGAATTGTTTTTAAGTGGACACAGGGACAAGACATATCCTGTTACTGACATGGAGGCACTGATTGCTTGTCTAATTGTTTGAATTTGGTCTGTGAAGAAGGAAGGAAATTCATTGCAGGCCCTGGTGGATAGAAGTTCAGAGGCTACAGACACAGGAGGGTTGGTTAGCCTGTCGACAGTAGCAAACAGGGCACGTGCATTATTAGTTTTTGGTGATGATGTCAGAGAAGAAGGACTGCCTTGCATTTCTCAGCACCTCCCCTCTTACGCACTCTAGCGTCACTCATAAAACTGAAGTTGGGAGGGGTAGACTCGATAAGGACAGCTGCACTGTTGGTCCAACCAAGTTTCAGTTAAAAACCTGAAATTAAGATTGTGAGTGATTATAAAATCATTGATTAAAAATGTTTTTCCTGCCAAAGACCAAATGTTTAACAAAGCTAATTTTAGTGTGTTAAAAACATTATCTGGCCCACTTTTTTCGACAGGCTGCGGCTGACGAGGAATTAATACTAAATTTGCAGGATCTGTTGAGTGCTTCCTGTTTCTTAACACATTCACCGTGCTCTTTCTGTTACCTATCAAGACAGGGATGGAGAAGACTACCAGCACTCTGGGCCCCGGCTTGTCCTGGGAAGAGTCATTTGTGCTATTTTCCTTGTAGCCTGGACCCAGCACATATCAGACAGAGCTTACTGGGCTTTTTTGCCATTGCGGAGCAGGAAGGCAGGTTGTGCGCTGTATTTGTGACACGTGTCAAACCTGGAGGACTTGGTGGAGGTGGACCGTGAGGGGGGTTTAGGGTAGAGAAAATGGGAGTGGAGCGAGGGAAGGTGCGTGGAGTAAATTTGGTCCCAGCTCTAACCAGGTCTTCCATGTGATCAGTGAAGTCCAAAAGGGGGGAGAGGGGAGAAAGGGTGTCTGGAGATAAGGGTGAACTAGATGGGAATTGGGGGGGTAGAGATGGTGAATTCTCACTGTTGGTTTTCAGTGAGGGAGGTGCAGGCTCTTCCTCTTGGCTCAGATGTCTCCCATGATCATAGCTCTCTTCCGGCGGGGGCTGAGGTGGCTCTCCTTCAAGGTTTCTGGCGTGTGTTATGTCTTCTTCTTGTTTAGTTCTCTCTTGTCTCTTGTCCTTGGCAGAGGGAACAGATGAGTGACGCAGAAAGTAAAACAGGTTGGAGCTTAACAATTTTACTCCTGACTTGTTAAGCGAAGTCCATCTGCCTTAAAAAGATTCGGATTGGCGGTATAGGGCCACTGATAAACACCTCAGCATTCAAAGAGTTGACTGTGTTCAACAGATTATTAAAGTCCTCTTTCAACACTTCAGACTGTTGCTTCACAACATCATTGGTCCCGATGTGCAGTATGATTTTTTTCACAGTAGGATGTTCAGCCACGATATGCAGGATTCTTTCTGCCAAGTCAGACACCGTATCCTTCAGAAAGCAGAGTATTTTGGTGTTCTTACTGCACATGCTTCTTACGTCGTTTACAGCAGAATCACCCACAATCAGAGTTTGAGGCCCAGTCGTTAGCTTTCCCTGCAGCCTTTTACTTTCTGATTTACTTTCAGTCCTTACCCTTCTGTGTGAGGATAGGATGTTGTCCATGTCATCAGATGGAGATCCAGGGTCCTGCAATAGTGGTGAAAATCTGTTCTGCTGTTGCACACTCGGTTGATGGGAGGTTTGTTGCTAACTCTCCCTTTCGCAGCTGTCCACGCTGTGTCCTACTAAGAACAGGGTTTGAAGAGGCGTTTTGATAATTCAGGCCAGCCAGTCGCATCAGAAATCTCAGGGCTCTGGGTTCTGCCTGTTACTCGTCCTCCCATTTCCCCAGGAAATGATTTACTCTTAGGCTTTGCACCAAAGCGTTCCAGGGAGGACTCCCACTTTCAGATTTATTACCCAGTACACAGGCTTCCTGCTTCTTGGTAGTCTTTTGGTGCTAATTAGTCGTGTGTTAGCATGTTAGCATGTTAGCAAGTGGTATCATTCCCACATAATCCATTCACTTCCACATTCACTTCTAACCTGTGGATCTTGGACAGCACAGTAATTTTCTGTAGAAGTTTGTAGAAGTCATCCGTGGAGAAGGGTGGCATCTTGTTGCTAATTAGCATTAGCTATAGCTCCAGTCACTGCAGTACAGGCTAGTGCTATTGATAGGCTGCACTCGCGTAGCACTAAGATCATAAAAGTATGACAAGAGCCTACTTTATCAGTCCCAGTGATTTAAAAGTATCCAAGAGCTGCTGATTTCTAGCAGGGGGGGAAAAACAGAGTTTAAGCAAAAGAATGCAGGCAGAGGCAAGAGCAAGCAGCAAAGCGTCTGCACTGTAAGAAAGCAGGAAGTATGAGACAGAATAGTTGTGATCCATTCATTGTTGATTAAAATAGAATTTATTGTCCTATGCAGAAAAACATGATGTATTAATTTAATCTCTAATGTTGCTCCACAGATATCACATTGTGTCCAACTCCATCTCCTGGTATGAGACAAATTTTGCTTGTTTGAATGGATACAGTTAAACAGAGTATAGTTGGAAAATCAACAGAATGTATTGATTTAAAAGAACATTTATTGATGCCAAGTATTGCAGAATACTTAGATTGACATAATTCAGGATGACATCACTGCAGAAAGTAACAGTTTTGTGAATACTGTGTATGATGGTAATTTTTTGTATTCTTCTTCTTTTACAGCAACAAACACAACAACACCGACCACAGCAGCAAACACACCAACACCGACCACAGCAGCAAACACACCAACACCGACCACAGAAACAAACATAACAACACCGACCACAGCAACAACACCAATCACAGCAGCAAACACAACAACACCGACCACAGCAACAACACCAATCACAGCAGCAAACACAACAACACCGACCACAGAAACAACACCAACCACAGCAACAACACCGACGACTACACTACCCAGCACAACTACAACAATGCCAATGATGACAACACCACCACCACCAATGGGTATTACACATAGAATATGTGAATGAAGTTATGTATCTCATGAAAGTGCTTCTTTGTGATGACAATTGTTTAAATTTTAGTGAAGACCTTGACGTTCACCATGGACCTGGTTTACGATTCTTCATACAATAACCCGGAAAACGAGGTTTACAAAAACACTAATAACACTGTAAGTCTTGATGTGTCAATCAGTTTTGTCCCAATGTTCTTATATGAATTTATGTGATGTTTGATCCTGATGTAATTGTGGAACTGATTACAAGCAGGCTATGTCATTTTTTCAAACAGATTCAAGAACAATGTAAGACGCACATCTCAACTCTAGTATCAGTCAACATCAATGGCTTCAAGTAAGTCAAAATTTTCTTTTTATTTTACTGATGATGTTTTGACAGTTTGACTTAAGGGCATTTTTTGGGGTGCCCATCAGGTTTCTCTCCTGACATGTAAGAAATTGTACATTTTAACCCACCAAATGTCACAAAGGGTACATATATTATACTATGGACCCTCAAATTGAATTCAATACCCCTTGCACAATACTGAAACTACAACTAAGCTATAAAATGCAACAAAAGCAGTTCATAAATCAAAAGTCCTCAGTAGCAAAAAAGTTGCACATCAAAGTTGCTCCGTTACACATCTTTAGCTGTAGCGGCTGCAGTGTTGGTCAATGTACCATGCTAAATTTTGTTTTGTTTTGTTTGTGCAGATATTTGGGGTTCACAGATGATGAATCCTATTACAGTTTGTTTTCAAATGCTAACATTGAACGCTAAAAGCTGAAGTCACATTGTCAAAACACTTCACATAGTCAGCGAAACAGAAGTGTATTTAGACCAAAAACTGTGAATCATTGTTCCAAAACAAAAACACTATATATTTGCAGCACAATTTTCAAATGCTAATACAATGTCTCCAAAACTGTTAAACACACTTTCAAAAAGGAATGTCCTGCAGTTCTGCACTAACCATATTGAGACAATCTTAGCAGAATATTTACAGTAAATTTTATGTTTACGTCTATGTGCGTAGTGTTTTGAAAAAAGTGGAGTGTAAAGCAGGAAATGTGCTTGTATTTTAGCCGACTTTGTTCAGGGGGTTGGAACATGAATTACAGGTTGGGGTCATTGTGTGTCGAGTACCAGTGTAACATTTTTCTCAATCGCTTTGGCGTCAAATGACTATTAAACTTTGTCAAACTATAGGACTGTGTATATGAACATTAGCTCAGTTGTCCACTGCACTGAGTAAGCCTTGCGGATAATAATACTTTGCATTTGTTTACTATTTAATTATATTTATCTCAAATGCAATTATACACACGTTCATTGTGTAAATCCCTACCCGCTTACAGATTTTTTCAGTTGCTAACCTGCGTTGATCAAAACTGAAGTCACATTATTAAAACTCTTCACAGTCAAAAACTCTTCAGTCAGCGAAACAGAAGCATATGTGGACCAAACTGTGAATCATTTTTCATTGCTTTCACACAAAATGCATTCAATGGCAACTTTCTCCAAAATCCATGAACTCTTTTCTCATTACGACATCACCGCCTTATGTAATGCCTGCACATTGTTAGCGTTTTGTAGGTCAGTGTGTTATGAGTGAGATCATGCGCTTTCTGAGTGAGAATTGTTGCCAGTGTTTAGGTTGAAAGAGTTTATTTTGAGACTTGTATGAAGTGTTTTGGGGGTTAAGTGACTTTTGCAGGTGAGATTAACTTTTCAAGATGCATGTTGGTAATGGAGACTGTGTGAAAGTGGCTTTAGTTTCAATGCATCTGTAGCATGTCTAAACTACATATGAATTTTAATAAATTTATGAGAATACCCAATTATGAATTTTAATATTCAGAAATATTAATCTATAAATCTCTCATTTTGCGGGGCACCACCAGAGTTTTTATTTGTCCTAGAGTCTCCGGACCTCTAGGTAGCTTTTAATAATTATACAATTATTCACCAGTGATCAGTTAATAATCGCTCAATTATCTTAAATCAATCAGTCAGTATCATATCTAAAGGGTAAATTCTCTTGACAGGGACTTAGAAGTAGGCAATACACACAATTCCTTGATTACAGTGAATTTATTAACTAACTAAGGTGATATAAAAAGGTGGTTAAATACATCGGAGAAATAAACAATGGCTAAACAATGAGAATGGAGGTTCAATTGTGGGAGGATTTGACTCATACGGCAACTAATGACTGCAATTGGATAATAACTCAGTTAAATTTGTCTAGGGGTTTAAGGATTACATATGCTGGACTAAAGATAAATGGATTAACAACTATTGGACGTCACTGATCACAGAATGTAGGGTTTTGGTCTTACTGCTTGTGTTTCTTCGCGCCGGGTTGCTGGTAAACGGCCTCGCACTGGCAGAGTCCGTGCGTTCTCGTTTAGGACAGCTTGAAGCTGTCGGCCAGTCGCTTTCTCTGCCAGGGAATTTCTCCGGGGGTCCGTCTCTGGGAGGCTTATTGAAGAAACTTGCAGTGGGGGGCCTTCCCAACCCTGTCTCGGGTCAGGTTTAAGTTGTCCTTTGTTATGCTGGCGAGACCACGTGGCTTGGTCTGACCTCGGTGAAGTTAGCTCGACGAATAAAGCTTAAAAGAACTTGGTCATTCTTGAATTAAAGTAGTGTAACTTAACGGACTGATAACTTTTAACAAAACAAAAGAAAGAAAATAAAACAACTAAAGTTGCTGGAACTGAGGGAAACTGAAGTCGCGGCACTTCACGTGTGTAGCTTCAAGCGAAACAAAGACTTTGTTGCGCTGGTCGAATTCATAGGGAGTTGCCGAGAGAGGGCACGCCGGGCACGTGCCGAAGCGGCGTTGAAGAGCCCGGAACAAGCCGGAAGCGTCCAGACAGCAGAGTCAAGAGAGCGAACACACGTGTGTGTCGCTGTTTTGTTGGTTTTGGCATGGTTCCCCAGAGGACAGTTTCCCATGGTACTGTCTTTCTAAACTTTTAATATGTCTATAAGAAAAAAAAGAAAATCTATTTGCGCATATTATAATCAAATAACTTCCCACAATCAAACCTCAATGGTCAAACGGTTGTACCGTTCTAAGTTTAAGCATTTGGTAATAGGAAAACAATTGTCAGTAATTAGACCTTAAAAGGTTATCATTTCAGAATAATGGCATGTAATACTTATTTTGTCCACTTGGGGGAGCTCAGGTTACATGATGACATCTTAGATTAATCCAAAACAATCTTCTCAGGAGCTGGAAAATTTAGTTATTTTGCTTTAAATTCAAGCTGGTAATTAATAGAGTATAGTATGACATTTTTATCATCATTTCTAAAGGTGTTGTCAGAAAGCATTGTGAACAAGCATTGGTTACACATAAAATGAAGGAATGTCCTTAACCTTGCTGAAAATTAAAACTGCATACTTATTTAGATTCTTTTCAGCAATAATATCAACAACAGATAGCAACATGGTAATATAACTACTCAAATAGAGGCAGCGCCACTACTAACTTAGCAAGGATTATTATTTGAAGAGAACAGTTTATAATGAAATATTTTTAGCTCAAGAAGGCAGGAGTTGTGTCTCCTTTTCGCATATCCTGGCTTATCACGTTTGCACATCAATCTTTGTTTGCATAAGGGAGTTCAGGTCTGTGTCTCTGATGTGAGTTCCTCATCTAGGCGGGAAAAAAGAGATCTCTTTGATGAGGTAATGAAACACAGAGCAAGGAAAGTTGTCACGGTTACATGTGTGGGGCGGTGGGGCAGTTTAGGGTTTCCTGCCCCCTTTTAAGAAGAGTTCTGATAGGCTGTTCAGGGAAATGCTAATTGCTGGTCAATGTCCCTTTTGTCAGTTTAACAGTCAGGCACCGCGTTATCAGGCTGCGGAATCAAAGGTGCCAGTTTTACGATCAGGCTGCTCAGGAATAGCACTTAGGGAAAGCGACCTTTCCATCCCCCTTCTGTTGGGGTCTCTTCAGCCGTCTGTAGAGAGTTGATAATCAAACCCCCTCCTTTCTTCCCACCAGAGAGAGAGGAATAATTTTGAGTAGTCCAAATTTATTTAATATAAAATGCCCAAATCCACACTGTCGGTTCACTACACATCTTAGCAATTCTTCACAATTTAGAGCCACTGTTAATAAGCAACTGTTTTCTAATTTAGCTGACAGGTAAAACTCATGACCAATCAGTTCTCAAATACATTTATACAACAAGGGTAAGACTCAGGGTTACAGCTGTGGAAAATGGAGCTTGCAGGAGACCACAGGGGAAAGAGTCTGCCCATGCAAGAGAAAGAGGCATTAGAGTGCGTGGTGGCATGGTGAGGGGAGAGTAGGATAGAAAGGGGGTACAGAGGACAAGAAGAGCCAGAGAAAGGCAAAGACCCAGAGAAATCTCAAATGATATACAGGCAACAATTATAGACCATGTAATCAACCATGGCAAAGTATGACAGAGGCTGGTCGGAGAGTGCAGCCTAATCTGGGCCTAACAAATCATCATTTATATAATGCTCCCTGTTGTTAGTGTTTTTTAGGTTAGTGTGTTGAGTGATAATGTCTTTCTGAGCGTGAATTGTTGCCAGTGTTTGGTCAAGTTTATTTTGAGAGTGTTTTTGGTGGTTTGAATTACTTTTAGAGGTGAGATTAAAGGGATATTATGCGACTCTACAGAGAGTTTGTTGATAAACTCATGAACGCGAATTGCCTTGGTAACCAGTCCTCCTCTGCTATAATATAGCAAAATCCACAGCGTCTGTTATGGCTTGTTGTTAGCCTCAATAAGAGGGCATGTTCTAGCAGTACTGTAGAAGGTGTGACAACAAGCCTGACATTATTTAAATATGTATTGAAGCAAAATACTTTTCTAAGCCTAAATCTAATAAAGATACGGAGTCTAGTTTATTTATCGGTATGGTTATCAAGAGGAACTTCAACAGTTACAATTAGTGAACAAAGATCATCAAACAAACAATATGTGTAAGCTCACAAACGAAGCATCCAAAACACAACAGAGTAAAAACCTAGAGTTATTAGAAATGGTTTGTATAAGAATACAGTGACTGTAAAGAGTTGGGAAGCACAGGAGCTTCTGTTTATCTCCAGAGCCAAAGTCAAAGCTAACTTTGGGGCTAACCTCCTTCACTTTATTCAACAGTTAGCAGCAACACATCTGAGCTCCTCTTTAGTATTGAGAAGCTGCAGTCTTTATTCACTGGCCACTGTAACTTCTGCTGTACATTTACTGCTGAACAACCCTTACTGCTGACCTTTTTCTCTCTATTAGAATAGTAATAGTAATAGTAATAGGAAATAGTTCACACGCCTATTTCTCCTCTTCGGCACACATACTGATCGCTGCGGCTAAGCTAACAAAGCTAACCAGCTGGGATCATCAATAACATGACAACAGACAGACAAGACTGTAATACTGAAGCTGTCGTTTATGTGGAACAGCAAAGCTAACTTTAGTCACCTGTCCAGCAGAAACAGAGCAACCTCAGCATCGGTTTTCATTCCTTTCTAATCGTGTAGATTTATCACAGATGTTAACACGTGTCTTCCCCTCGTCTGGTCATATAACTTGTCTCAGACCTTTCCCTCTGTGGCTGTTTCCCAGTCATCTTCACAGCTAAAATCCCGTAAAAAGTCCAGCATGTTCGAACGTACTGCTGTTTGTTTACATTCTGTTTCGTGTTGGTAAAGCAGACTGTGTGAAGCGTTTTGAAAAAGTGGCTTCAGTTTTGACCAATGCGCGTTAGAAATTGAAAAAACAACGTAACCTAGGTGATCGTCTTACTTTTTCTCTAGCACCACCAGCAGGTCAAGGTCATTATGGTCAAATGCAATTTCTTTTGTGCAATATCTTCTGGAGGGATTGGCACAAAACATACAGACATTTGTGGTTTCGACATGATGTATCTTAATGACTTTGACGACCGTTTAACTTATCCTTTAAGGTTGACATTAGTGATGTGCGATACCACTTAATTCCTATCCGATCCAATACCAAGTAATACCCAGGCTGGTATTGCCGATACCAATTCCAATGCTTTTTACATATTTTATTTCTAGTTTAATGTGACCTCCCCCCTCCCGTTTCTGCATTTATGAGAGAAATAAGGAGTGGGCTGTAGCCTTACCAATTCAAAATAATAGCTGCATAATGACAAGACATCAAACTACTGTCATATTCTTTAGTTATAATCAAAATATCCTGCTCAGAACTGGTGCTTCATAACATCATCCTATTATTGTGACAGACCTCAGATGTGTTGCCAAAGTATTTTACTGTCTTTGCACACACATCACACAGCCTCATTATTACCTTCACAGCTAAAATACAGCCAGACGTGACTGTTTTTACAATCAGCCAGAGTCAGTATTCAATCACGGGAAATGTAAAGGCTACAGCGGCTCACTTCAAAGAAGCTCCGTCACAGAAGCCGCAGCGCAAGCATGAAGGAAAGGAAGGAAAAGTAGTTCCTATCAACCGAGTATAATTAGACCATCCTGATGACAGTAAGATACTTCTGATAAAACACACACTCACTCCAAATGACGATCCTTTTATATGAGTATCAATCCTAGAGTAGGAAATGTTGATATCAGAAATATCCATACTTTAGGATTGATCCGCAGATCACTAGTTGACATTTGTGATTTTGAATAAAAATGTCTCAAAAGCTTTTGGATTGCCATTATGCCAATTATACCAAATACCTACCTGCCATTCCCATCAGCCTCAACTGGACTTTGTGTTTAGTGCTAATTAGAAAACGTTAAGATGCTTAATAAGATACATTCTGTTATGAATTAGCACTATATAAATAGAAGTGAATTAAATAAAGTATACACCTGCTCAACATCTGAACTGTTAGTATGGCCATCGTAAGCATGTTGGCATTATTGATGTGGTTAGCCTGCAAGGTAGAATTTAGCTCAAAGCACCACTGTGCCGCCACAAAGAGCTATGGGTTCATCTCAAACTGGTCTTAGCTGAGGTGGCTTTATAAGCAGCTAAGTTAAATATGCCCAAAGTCAAATAGGGCACCATATAAAAAGTTTGGTTCACTTACAGTTTTTCTCATTTGCTTAAACACATTTCTTGAAATGATGCCTTTTTTTCTCAAAACTCTAAACACAAATCCATAACTTCTCACCCAATTCCGCAAAAGTCAGATTTTCAGGTCAAAATGAAGCTCTCTACTCAAACCATTCAGTCTTGCTGAAAAACCAAACTTTGCCATCAGACATGACACACAAGCCCTCAGAAACACACACACTACAACACAGTCTTACACACTGGTGAGATAAATTCAAAACAATTCTATAAAAACTGGTTATAAATTATGTTGCTTGTTATTATATCAAAAACCTTTTTACACAATGAACACAACAAAAAATAACAAATGTAAACATTTGAACATTTTTTATTCCTTAGTGTACTGTACAGTACAGCACACCAAACAACTACTTATTCTGCCCCTGCGTCTTGTCTTTGGTCTGGGACAGTCCAGAGATTCTTGTTCTCCACCTCCTTCTTCACCTCCTCCCCCTCCCTACTCCTTCTTCCTCCTCCACCCTACTCTGCTCCACCTGCTCCACCTCCTCATCTTCCTCCTATCCCATCTCCTCCTCTAACTCCTACTGTTCCTCTTCCTTCACCTCATCCTCCTCTCCCTACGGCTCCTCCTCCTCCTCTTCTTCCTCTTCCTCTTCTCTGGGGTTCTCTACGTCTTCCTTCAGATTTCTCTGGATCCATTGTTCCAAAACTTATTGAACTGACTCTGGCCCTTTTATCTATTGAATCTTCTGATTGGTGTGTTATCAATTATGACTCCTTGTGTTTCCACCTGGGTAGTGTGAGCTAATCGAGCACAACCTATTCTGACTTGAGTGAACAATATTGAATGTTAGTGTTTTCTCAATGACCACATGATTTGGGCATGAGAAATGAAGGGATTTGTGTATAGAGTTTAGGGAAATGGCTGTGCTTTTTGAAAAATGGAGTTATTGTGTTTAGGCAATTGAGAAAACTGTAATTACTCCAAGCCTGTAAGCTGCTGAAAGCTTTCAGTACCTAACTGGAATAATGAATTAACTAACTGAAAGAACAACAGAGGATAATCTTAGGGTATTTACAAGTTGTTTTAAAATCCAAAAGTGGTTATAGCCCCTAACATGCACACCAAAATGAGCGTCAGCAAAAGTTATCTGGTTTTCAAAGAACACTGACTGAACTGTAGTGATAATTGGGCTAATTCATAATGATGATATTGTTGTTAAGGTTAGGGTAATTATTATTTATATTTTTATATATTATAACACTTTAAAAAACATGTTACATGGTGTTTTACAAAGACATACAGAGAAAAAGAGAAATAACCTGATAAAGAATGAATAAATGTTGAATTGATACAGTAATAATAAGTCCTCGCGACCCTGTACGCAGGATAAGCGGTTGACGATGGATGGATGGATAATGATAAGTGAGGAATGAATTAAAACACAGTAAAAACCGATAACAGGTAAAACAGGTTATAAGTAATGTTGCTTGTGGTTCTCTTCGCCTCAGAAACCTTTTCACATGATGACCACAACAATAGAAACAACAAATGTAAACAGTTGAACATTTTTTATTTCTTTGTGTACTGTACAATACAACATAACAAACAACAAATTAAATTGCCCCAGCATTCTGTCATTGGTTTGGGACAAGCCAGAGATTATTTTCCTCCCCCTCCTAATCTTCCTTCACCTCTTCTTCCTCTCCCTACTGCTCTTTCTCTTCCTCCTCTCCAATGTCCCAGACATTTTCCTTCACGTCTCTCTGGATCCATTTTTATCTGTCTATTGAAGCTTCTGATTGGTGTGTTATCAATAATGACTCTTTGTCTTTCCACCTGGGTAGTTGCGTGATACTTGAGCTGTGCTCAAGCTCGTTCCCTCTCTCTCACTCCCTCATTTCCCTATCTCAACTGTCCTATCTGAAATAAAGCCCCAAAAAATATTTAAAAACACAGAGAAATTTAAGGTTTGATAAGATTGATAATAGGTGAGAATGATATTTCATTAGGGCGAAACAAGTAACCATACAGTGGTTTTGAAAGACCTATTTGTAAGTGGTTAATGGTTAACATCAAGTTTAAAGAGCAGATATAATATGAACTGCATTATAAATGCTTGTGATTGTATTTTCATTGGCATTCATTTCTGTATTACAGGAGTGGAAGCACCATCGTTGACTATACTATAAGAGCAAACTCTATAAATGTTGCGGACATTGCTGCAGTAACATCAGGGATATTTATACAGCTGGGAAAATATACCCTGTGATATTTGACGGTGAGTTTAACACAGTTTTTGACATAATGAGACACAAATAATTTTAATATTCACATGAACATTGCTTGTCATGTCAGGAATATCTGATGATTGTATAATAATTGTCTGACTTTTGTATTTTTAAAGGCCCACTAACGATTCAGCCATCTTTCATAACTATTGGGGAGAGTGTGACTATGACATGTGGCCCTCCTCCAGCAAATCTCAGTTTCGTTACCAGCTGGACTGCAGAGTGGAGACTTGACGGCAATCCAATACCCAAAGATAGTGCACACGTCCAGTCACTTAATAAAGATGTAGCAACCTTAACTGTGACCAATTTTTTTAGCGCTGACAAGGTAAGAAATAGAGACAGTATGGTGCAGTCAAGAAATTATTTGTATTTCTGTCCAGGGAGAAATTTAAAAATATATATATATTTACAATGCAAATGCTGTTTGGGACTTTTCTCCTTGTGCTCTGACCTGAGCGAATACAGTACCCTGATTGGCTTGAGGGCAATATTTTTCTTACAGTGTAAACAGAAACCTACACTGTCTCCATTGTTTTGCCTGTCTCACCAATGCCAAAAAAATATCAGGTCATGGTAATTTGAGGCTGAAATGATTCATAGATCTAAAATGTTAATTCTTGCATCTTTTTTTTTTAGCTAACTGTAACCCTAACTTGAAACCACAAGTTAATTAGGATTATACAGGTTGAAATGCATAGAGGGCAGAGAAATTATTTTCCTAATGACTGAAGCCTGTCAACCTTCCATTCTGCTGGGAAAAGCCATTACAGATTTTACAACTGTTTACACATGTTTCATGTCTTTTTTCAAAACTCTACACACAATTCCCAAAATTGCTCACACAAAATGCAAAATGCCTCATATGTCCTTCAAAATGAAACACTGCGTTCAAAATGCCAGAAACACATCCAAAAGATGGAAACGCTTTTTCATAATAGTAATTTATAGGATATACCATTTACACACTGTTGTTCTAAATCTAAAGCTCTTCTGTCTTTTATAGGTGTATGTGTACATTTTCATACAATATTCTAGAATGAAAGTAATTTACTAAGAGGTACTGAAAATACACTGTAAACATCAATGCAGTGTTGAAATGGAAGATATTTATTTGGCCAAACATTACTGTTGTAACAGAAGCACAGTGTTGTATCCAGCAGCATACAAAAAAAAAACCCATAAACATATATAAGCCAAAAGTATATTTTTTTACTTTTATTGCTAACAATTAATACTTAATTTACAAAACTGTATTGCTGAAATAACCCTTAGATTTTTGCAACTTGTTCTAATTTCGGAAGGTCTGAAATATGGATACCACTGCAAAGTAACTCAACTTGGGCTTGACTCTCAGTCCAGCTTCTCTCATTGTTAACTTGTGGTTGATCACATGATCAATAAGTGTGGCCCTGATCTCATCAGTGAAGGCTCTCCTTCCTTCTCTTCTTTGCCCTCGTCCTCTTCCTCCTCCTCTTCCAACTTTTCCTCTTTGAACATGTCCTTGTGGTCATCCCCTGCTTCTCCCCTTGCTCTCTGTCCATTGTTGGCACCCATTTTTCAAAACAGATAATCTGACCTTTGACCTATGTATAGGTCTACTAGATACTAAAGCAGTGATTGATTAGTGATCAGTTAAGCAGTTAGGGTTTGCACATGTGAGCAGTGGCTATGAAAGCATGTCACTTCCTGTTAGATTTTTGTGTCTTAGCAATGGAAATGTTTTGTAGTGTTTTGAAAAAAGTGTTTTATGCAATTGAAAACTGAGAAATAGCTTATGGTTTTGGAGATTTGAGGTGAGGTTTTGCATTTTTTTGTGAGAGGTTTCATAAATCGTGTGACATGTAAAGAATTTGTGTGTAAGCAGTTGTAAAAAAAAACTGTAATAGACACGACCCAGTATTTAGTTGTCTGTTACGTTATCATCTATTCAAATTCAGACTCCTTCTCTTGAGATTTTTTCAAACCGAAAAGCTCTCCATTTTAATTAACCAATTTAATTTCAGTTCATGGATACTTTTCAATCTTTTTAGTCTCAACTCCAACTCAAAGCGTATAGAAAAAAACATTTGGAAGATGTAGATATTGTTGGTCCCACTATATCACAACCTGAATGCTGATTTAGGTTGATGCCCCCCTTAAAATCTGATGGGGATGTAATCCGATATATTTTTGTATTTGTTTGGCAACACTGTCTTCACATTGATTTGATGTTAATTGATGATCATCTTTAATTTCAGGAGATTATCAATGTCTGCTGACAGACAGCAGTAAAGGTTTCCTTGGAGTTTTCCGACAGAAATCCAACGCAAAATAACTTTACAAAACACACCCTTGATCCAAGTGGAACCAATCAAAAACAGGTCCAGTGTAATGTTGGAACGACAGTGGAACTGCAGTGTTCTGTCAACAGCCCCTATCAGGTGGACTTTCTGGGCAAAATAGGTAAATCTGAATCACAAAAAGCACCAAACAGCAAATCAGCTTTTGGGAAATCTTTTACATTTTACATATACTACAGTATCTGAGATCATGTGTATACATATATAGTATTTTCAGTGAGTGAATGTTGATACTGTTTGTCCAAGGTGAGTTTTTTTTGTATGTTTAGGCCAAGTCATCACCCAAGATTTTTTGATATCCGACTGTAAAAATCTGGATATCCCTTGTCGACTGATAAACCATACGGAATATAGCAGCAGTATAACACTGGTGTTTATCCAGCAGGGTAAGTATTGATCCAGACTTTAGAGTGTATTATACAATATATTTTTTCCTGTGATAAAAAAAAAAAATTCTTTCTTTCTAGAATTTACATGTCGCAATGATCCCGTGTTTGGTAGTGGAACTGATGGTTACATAGCTAATGTTACCTGTGAACCGAACTATGTGGGCTCAAAGACAGCAGTTTGTCGGAGTGGTAAATGGGAACAACCACAAGACAACTGTGTCCTGCAAGTTGTCCAGGACCTGCTCGAGCAGTCTCAGGTGACCTAGTTTAATGGTGGATTTACTGATTTTGGGCCCTTAGCACTCTGGCCTCTGTCATGTCTCTTTTTCATCCTTTCTCTGATTTAAATGGTTAGTCTAGGCCAGGGGTATTCAATTACAATTCAAAGTTTCCCTTCTTCTTGCGTTATCATCAGTACCATAATGTAGAGTTGTATCAACATATGTTTTTAGTCAACAACGGACTGTCAAATCAAATAATATTTCATTCAGTTTTCACATCAAACTGGAGGGATAATAAATAATAACTACTCTAATAATAATTTTAAATTTAAGTAAACTTTAATTTTTTGAAAAAATGAAATAAAAAGTCTTGCTTGAAGTGATGAAGTATAGTCTTAACCAGAAGAGCTGTAATGCCTCCTCTTCTCTTTCATTCCCTCTTACAGAGCTACCACTTTCCTACTTTCTCTTGTTCAGTGAGAAACGTGACCTCTAGTTTGTCCTGCCAGCTATTTACATTCGTTGTGTGTTTCCAAAACATTTCTGGTGAATCTCGCGGACTCAACTCGCAAGCATCGGAATGCACAGATTTGATAGGCTGAGCAGCGTCACATGAGACAATTGAAGCACATGCGATTGGTCTGTGAGTTTCCTGGGCCGCTAAACCAGTACAGTAAATGCTAGAAAAGCTGCGTGGGTTAAAATAGAAATGCTCCAAAATAGAAAGTCTCCATAATAAATGGGCTGTAGGTCGGTGGTCCGAGAGGACAGTGACCACTGGTCTAGGCAGTGGTAGATTATGCACTCAGATCTTAATTAACACTTACAGTGATATCACAATGTAAAATCAAAATAAAACACTGGATTAAAAATATTTACTAAGGTAAATGTAGTAACAAATTTTTTTTGTTTTTTAAGTCAATCTTAAGAGTGGAACACTTGAACACTTGGCTGGTCATATGTATTGTGTTGGTAAAATCTAATCAATCAGTCAATCATTTAATCAATCTTCATTTGTATAGCACTTTTCATAGAAAAGCCACATGAAAAGATTGAATCAAATTTGACCACAATTGTTTTTCTACAAACAAAGACTCATGCCATCATTTTAAGGATGCTATATATATGCTGTGTAATGCTGCTGCTTGTTTTCTTTGAATTCTCACAGAACTTGAATGTCATTACATTGCCAATATTTTTGGGAGAACTCAGCTCTGCCACTCTCAACTTGACTGACCAAGTGGTTAACTCTACGGGAACCATTAAGGCCATTGTTCAAATACTCAACAATGTAGCCAATGTTTCATCATCACTAAATATCCCAATAACTAATTCTTCAATGCAGGTATGTGAATTAGTCTGCTGAAGTTTGTACATGTCCTACACAATATGCACATTTCAATACAATATTACATGTACTAATATCTTCTTTCCTTTGAATTTAGGACGTCCTATTAACTGCAGGTGTCCTAACCATAAATGGCTCAAAGACATCATGGGGCTTTCTGAATGGCAACGACACCAGCAACATTACAGAAACACAAAGCAACAGTGTCAGCTCAGCATTTTTGCAGTCCCTTGAGAATATAACAAGTCGTCTTACCAATGACTCTTTCAATATTGACACACATTCAATTATCTTGAACAAAACTACATTTACAAACACTTTCATGGCAGACTTTAATTCCTCTGTGGAGATAGACATACCAACGTCTGATGGAAGAAGTAAGTTTATCACTGTGGTAACATTTGCCTCAATGGATAACGTGCTCCCTGCAAGAGACAAGGAAATTCATCCATCTACGTCATCAACGGGAGAGTCATACTTGTTCAGTCCAGTGGTACCGTCGATAATGTTTCGTTCACATTTGATATTATAAACAATACTCTGGGGAACGCTCAGTGTGTTTTCTGGAACTTCAGCCTCTTCAGTGGTCTCGGGGGATGGGACAATGGGGGCTGCGTGTTGGTATCCAACAACACCAACGTCACCTGCAACTGCAACCACCTGACCTCGTTCTCTATCCTTATGTCACCTAACACCATATTTGACATTGTGTTGGATTACATTACCTACATTGGAGTTGGCATATCTATGGCTTCCTTGGTCATATGCCTCATTATTGAAGCTATCGTCTGGAGAAAAATAAGAAGGAACACCACATCTTACTTGCGTCATGTTTCCATTGTTAACATCGCTGTGTCTCTCCTGATTGCTGACATCTGGTTCATTATTGGGGCCGCCATCTCAGATGCAAAGACAGTAAACCAACCAGCATGCACTGCGGCTACATTTTTTATCCATTTTTTCTACCTTGCCCTGTTCTTCTGGATGTTAGCCTCAGCTCTGCTGTTGTTCTACCGCACAG